TTAGGGTTAGTCTAATACTCGTTGTCCCCCCCTCAGGGCCCATCGGCTGACTGAGAAGATTGGTGCATTCATGCGTTCCCTTCTTCATCAAGAATCTCAGGTCTCGGTTGATGTCTACGCTTACATGTTCTTCTGTGATTTCTTCAATTTTTTTGTGCTCATATTTGGATTCTCAGCTTTTGGTGTAAGCTTTTGTACTGATTTTATTTGTTTAACATGTTTTTAATACACTTATGAAAGTACTGTATAAACAGGGGGGTAAAAAGATTTTCAATATGATGTATTTATCTTGATTAAAAAATTTGCTTTCAGGTGTCCCTAAATAATTTGTATTTAGCTGATCTATATGAAATGCAAAATGTTTTGATTGCAGACACAACAAGGTGATGGAGGTGTAAGCGCTTATCTGGAGGATAATCGTGTACCCATCCCCTTCTTAGTAATGCTTATCCTGCAGTTTGGTCTCATCATTGTGGATCGAGCCCTCTTTCTCAGGAAATTTATCTTGGGCAAATTGGTCTTTCAGGTATGAACAATTATATTTAGTCATTCACAATTATGCTATTTAAACAGGAAAATGTATACTATTTTATGGGTGGCATGGAGGAGGGGAGGGGGGGGACAGAAGGAGGGGACCAAATAGGTTTATGCTTAAAATAGGTTTTTTACATTCACAATGGCCCTTTAATTTTGACACTGATTTTCTTCATTTAATGCATTATTTGAGAATTGGATACCACACAAAATAAAATGATACAGTACTCTAAATCTACTTAGGTTCAATTCATGCTTTTATTTTTTTTATTATTTATTTATATATATATACAAGGTAGTACAATGAGTTTTAGAGTACATAGCATTTTTGTTTTTACATTCTTGCAAAGCCGTTAACACGCATAGCATTTTCGGACATAGCATTTCTTTTAATCTCGATTAGTTTTAAAATCGGATAAAAACCTGATTTTTAGCAAATATTTTACTGTTTGATGCCATACTGAGTCATTAGTGGACATTCAGCTACTAAATGTTTTACGCCATACTTCGTCATTAGTGGAGGATAGCGTTAAGTCTTAGGTTTTTAGATTAATTTTTCTATATATTGCGCGAAATGCTGTGCGTACTAGTGGCTTTAGGCATAGTATATACTTGCTTTATCTAGAAATCCAACATTCTGTTTGTAACTCATTGTGTTTATATGTACTTTTCCATAAATAAAATTATCTATCTTAAGATGGTGATTCATATAAATTGATTTCCTGGTTGAACCACAGGTGGCTCTGACATTTGGAATACATATCTGGATGTTCTTCATTCTACCAGCTGTCACAGAAAGGTAATTAGACTTCTTTGCCTATAGGAATGTCCCATTTATTATATTTTCTGGGGGGTGCCCTTTTGGCTCTCTGGAGTCATCCAGGCTGATATGTATATTATTAGACTTTGGCATCAGTCAGTGTGAATGGAGTTCTAGGCCTACTGGGGACCATGAGCCAGAACCTGGCCCCCCTCAGAGAAGTACGAGGAGCAATGGCCTATAGAAGTGCACATGTGATTTGGAACATTCTATGTTTACCATCGACCAGGCCAGGCATCCAGAAAGGTCAGCGCTTCAAAACAAACCCCTATTCTGATTAAAAGTACTACTGAAAACTAATGAGTGAACAGAACTCCCCAATTGAAAATGAGCAAAGGAGCATGACGTCACACGTGCCACACCGCTTGTCTGCACAGCTCCTGCAGCCCCAGACCCCTCGCACTGGCTATCCATACCCCAGTTCGAGGCTGGATGTCAAAACACTCGAAAAAACACCAACCGAGAGGAGGGAGGGTTGCCGGGAAGCCTCCGGGTCTCGCCCAGAAAATGGCATTTCAAAACATTCAATGCTAATTTTAATTCCTATAATTCTTATAGGCTCCTCGTCTCTCTCTGAAGGATCCAGGTTCTGCCTCATGGTCCCCGGTAGTCCTAGAACTCCATTCACACTGATGCCAAAGTCTAATAATATACATACTGTATCATCCTGGATAGCCTCTGGGGCTCGCCCAGAAAATGGCGTTTCATTACGTTCAATGCTGGTTTTTTACTCTTTAGTAGAACTTTCTGTAAAATATAATGGATATTGTTGTTTTGGCATTTGTCATTCTGCTCATGCATAAACACACACTGTACTGACTCCACACAGACTCTGCACGCCGACTGATGAATCTTAGTCCAATTCCCCCTATGTACCTAATTTAATCTACAGTTGTAAAAATATCCCATAAATTATTTTCAAATGGTGTTTTCAATATTTTAGTAGAAAAACTAATAAAGGCAATCTACCATCTGCTTATGAGTTCTACACAGTTTGCAATTAATTGTTATAAATAAAGGATTGAGTGACTATGTTCCTTCCAGGCCTGTGGAAGTGTCATGAATTTAGAATGAGACAAAATGGTCATTTGTGAACACTATTGCTTATATGCATCCAGATACCCCTGATCCCATCAATACGTGTTTACAAAAATTCTAACAAGTTCTTACATTATCTTTGTGTATTTATAAAACCATACACTAGGACATTGATAGCACCATATTGTACTTTGTAATTTTAATATGTTTTCAGAGAGTTCAATGCGAAGCGGCCTCCCCAAATTTGGTACATGGTGAAATGTCTTAACTTGCTGCTGTCTGCATATCAGATTCGCTGTGGTTATCCAACAAGAATTCTTGGCAACTTCCTCTGTAAACAATTTAACTACCTCAATCTTTTCTCTTTTCGACTGTAAGTATATTTTGGTTTACTATCTTTATGGAGCTATCATATTTAGTTTTTCTTAAGGTAAATATATACTGTCACAGTGGATTTTGAACAGTGGGGCAGGGAAACATTTAGTTAATGACACTACAGTTCTTTTTAAATGTGTTGGATCATACATAATTAGTATAATTATATAAGGTGCTAGAAATTTATCCAGCCTTAGAAGTGAGGACTAGAATCCCCACCCTCCTCAAAGAGGCGAGGAGAGCTTGTGGGGATCAGAGATCACCCGCACGACTGATGTGAGCTTTGCAGAAAGTCAAAGGTAGTACAAAACAAATGGTTGCTCTATGGAAAATGAAGATAAGGAGTAAACTTTCACACCAATCATTTGAACAGGTAAACACCTGTTCAAATGATGGTGGCTTCTTCAGCCACCACCAGATGGCAGCCTAGGTCACCCAGGGTCCCAGGTAGCCACACACTTCACTTGCTGTCCTTGGTGGTCAATCCTGATTGGTACCAGAAATTTTTTTTACTACCCATGCTTTACTTAATTAACCTGAGGACCACTAACACTAGTGGCTTCGATGAGGACAGGAAACCAGTGGCTTGTTGAAGGTCCTCCATTTGCCTTAATGATCTTTCCCAGTTGGACTTTAAAATTTAATAGTTTTGGCATTTACAGTTTTGGCAGGTAGGCAGTTCCATGGGTTTATAACCCTGTGGGTGAAAAAGCATCTCCTGTTCTCAGTCCTACATTGTGGCTTGTTGAGCTTGAAACCGTTGCTCCTTGTTTGTGTTACATCTGACCTTCTGAAGAAATTGTCCGGATCAACTTCTTCCAAATTGTTTTATGCTTCACAAGGTATGGATTCCAGGCTGGTGTTGCATATTCAAGTATTGGTCAAACAAAAGCTGTGTAGACTGTCTTGAAAGTGTCCTGATTTAGGTTTCCAAATGACATCCCATATGCTCTTGTCACCCTACCTGTGTGTGCCTCTGGTGTTGAAATTATATCAACTCACAAATCTTTCTCCAATTCCTGCAGTTGCCTTCCATTTATGGCATAGAGACTTTCTGGACTTCTTTCTCCCTTCTCCAGTTTCATTACTATACACCTATTACGATTGAACTCGAGCAAAAATTTGTTTGCCATTCCTGGAGTTTAAGATTTTCCTGTAGGATTCTGTATTCCTCCTTTAATTTTACAGGTGCCCTGAGGTGCGATATCAGTCACCTAGTAGCAGGTGGGGAAGTTTTGATAGAATTTTCTTGTTTGCAGAGTTTTATTTGGTAGTTTTGAATTTAAAATTATTTTTGGAGGTAATTTTATAACTTGTTTTACAGGTAAGTTAACCTAGATAGTGGGTTGATCTGATCTATCAACATTTTCTGCCTCTTAGTGTTAGGAGAATCAGTAATTACCTAAGTGTAATTATGTCAAATGGCACTTACTTCTGGTACTGTAAATGGAGATTGTCACAAAAGGGCCTAGCATATCTAATATGGTTCCAGGGTGCCAGTGCTATTATGCAAGGGGAATTTCTGAGGCGGCTTACCCAAAAATGAATAGTAAAATTATTACCCAGTAGATATTTGACCTACAAATACTTTCTAAAAATCTGTTTAACTCTTGGACAGGTTCATGACTGTGCCATTCCTGTTTGAACTGCGGACATTGATGGATTGGATATGGACGGACACAAGCATGAGTCTCAGTGATTGGGTTAAGATGGAGGACATCTTCTCCCACATATTCCAGTTGAAGGTTTGTTGTGTGTTGTTTAAAATATGTGAAAATTAAAATACTGTATGAAAAATATTAGCATCAGTGGTGATTATTATGCCTATACAATTGTTTGTTCAATGTCTATATGCTGTAACAAAAATTAAGAGTTTTTCATGATCTACTCGATATTTAAATTAAAACATACTTTAGATGACAAGACAAAAAAATATTAAATTGTTTCATCATAACAAAATTATAGAAAAATACTCGTGTATCATTTTACTCTTTACCTAGTGTGAACGGCGAGCAGAGATTGAATATCCACAAGGCCGTGGTGAGAGCAAACGCAAAATAATCAAATATGGAATGGGTGGGTGTGCCCTGTTTGGAGTGATTGCCCTCATCTGGTTTCCTCTGGTACTGTTTGCCCTCAGCAACACTGTTGGTCAGCCTAACCCACCATATGACGTCACAGTCCAAATTACAATGGGAGCTTACCAACCTATTTTCCGTATGACGGCCCAGCAACAATCTCTCTACAGGTACAACATGTTCATTTGCTTATTTACATGAATTTACCTGAGGGCCACTAACACTAGTGGCCTCGATGTGGACAGGACACTAGTGGCTTGTCAGAGGTCCACCTATTTGTATGACAATGTAATTCAACAAATTTTTTAGCACTAACACCATCTCCAAGGGAAATGATACTAAAGGAAATACATACCATAGTGGTTAATGTAAACATTTGACACATGCAGAATACAGTTCAATAAAGTCATCAGGACAAATGGGGGATCTTTGACAAGTTGCTGGCTTCCTGTCCTCATTGAGGCCACTTGTGAGACGGTAACCCTTAAGTAAATTCAAGCAAATATATAAATATCATTTTAGTCTAAATGTTCTTTTCCCAACCTCACCTTGCCCAAAATGCTATACGTACTAGTGGCTTTAGGTATTGTATGTGCTAGCTCTATCTATAAATCAATCAGAATGTTTGTAACTGCATCTATGTATGTACTTTTCCTAAATAAAATATTGTTATTATTATTTTTGGCTAGTTTTTCCATTGAGACTGTGGTCTCGGTGCAAGGGATTATTCAGTTCTTCAGGTTCACTTCATGGCATGTATAATTAGTTTTGTTTGTGTATCATTGGATGTGGGTAGCCACTTTAGCTGTAGTTTGGTGTTATATTGCCTGTTTTCTAGGTTACTGAAGACCAACTGCCCCAGATATATCTTTCCTTAAGTTGTTTGTCATAGTTTTAGCATGAACTGACTCCTTTTGAGTTATTCCACAGCTTTGGCTGTACCTATGGTGCCTATGGCTGTTCCAAGCTCAGCTGCACCTTAGCACCGAGCATCAAATTATTAAATCCACGTTAAGGATCGGTGCTCATTTTTTCCATTGCATGTTGGCATGTGATGACTATTTCCTACCCAGGTTTTGCTTGTGTAATGAGGCTTAATTTTTGTTCAGCTACTGTCCACATTTTGTTGATTCTCTTGTGTACAGATTAGGGGTTAACATACACTAAGTACATTTTTCTTGTGGCACCACTTTCTCCCAATATATGCAGCCAAATAATTTACATATATATAATTTAAATTCTTTCTATCATTTTTATGGGATACAGTTTTTCATTATGAGGAAGTCCTCATAGTTATGTTATAAGATTTACCCTATAGTCTACAGGAAGATTCTTCTTATATTTTTTATCAGTAACTTTATTTGCAGTTTAGTAGAGTAGAATAAATAGAGCAGGTAAAGATGATCTCTACATCTTCTCACTTTTGTAATCATGCATCATAAAAAACATAACTGAGAGGCTTTTCATCCAACATATCTCCTTAGAAATCCAAAAATCTAATACTAATAATTTTGAAAATTGCAGGTTCACGCAGAAGGACTGGGATGCGTTCAACTACCATTATCGGTCTGACCGACAGGCACAGACTTTCTTAAGCAACTATGACTTCCAAGATGTGGTCGTTGCAAATCTTAATGGTAACTCCACTGCCATTTGGGGCATTTCTCCTCCGGCTCAAGTGAGTATGACGTCTCATACTGTACAGTTCACAGTATGTAATTACCCAAGTAATTACTTATGTGTAGTTACAGGATGAGAGCTACGTTCATGGTGTTCTGTCTTCCCAGCACTCTTTGTAGTATAACGCTTTGAAAGTACTGACAGTTTTGGCCTCTACTATCTACTCACCTAACTTGCTCCAACCGTCTACCACACTGTTTGCGAAAGTGAATTTTCTTACATTTCTCCGGCAGCTTTGTTTAGTTTAAATCTATGACATCTTGTTCTTGAAGTTCCAGGCCTCATGAATTCTTTCCAATCAATTTTATCGATTACTGTTACTATCTTGTACGTAGTGATCATATCGCCTCTTTTTCTTCTAGCTTCTAGTTTTTGCATATTTAATGCTTCTAACCTCTCATCGTAGCTCTTGCCCTTCAGTTCTGGTAGCCACTTACTGGCATGTCTTTGCACCTTTTCCATTTTGTTGCAGTGCTTCTTAAGATGTGGGCACCATACAACCACTCCATATTCTAGCTTTGGCCTAACAAAAGTCGTAAACAATTTCTTTAATATTTTGTCGTCCATATATTTAAAAGCAGTTCTGAAGTTCGAAAGAGTAGCATAGGCTCCTTGCACAACGTTCTATATGTAACACCGTTAGGGCACGGGTAGCACCGCTAGGGCACGGGTAGCACCGCTAGGGCACATGTAGCACCGCTAGGGCACGGGTAGCACCGCTAGGGCACGGGTAGCACCGGCAGGGTATCACCTTTTGCCATGATAAATAACCACTTGGTGAAGAGTATTTTTGAGAGGCCTTATATAGGAATGTAAGGCATTTAATTCTTTGCTGTTATTGTTTTATAATCTTTTAACAGAGAAGCTTGATTGAAGAACTTCAAAGCAATCATACCATTCGAGTGAAGGTTAATTGGAGTGTAAAACGTCCATCTAATTCTCCTGATGTATCTGCAGAATGCAAAGACCAAGTTGAAGTGAATCTTGATGCTTATGAAGGTATTAAACAAATTTATTTTCTGTTTACCTTTGCCTGTTACTATTTGAGTGTGGTATTTTAGAGCTTGTAAATTTTTTATATTCAGTATCTAAGAAATTAGAATAGATACCTTTGGTATACAGTACTTCCACATGTTTGTCACTGTATTTTGTTTGTAATTATATCACACACTGTATTCTCTTGTTTACCATTGTGTCACTATTAAATTTGAATGTACATATTTCTGCTGTCCCCATCTTGAAACACTACATTGTGAGGAAAGTGCATGCTCCAACACCCCTGAGTGTTGAGCATAACTTGTGAAGCCTGTGGTTTGGCTGAAGGATAGGAGACAGACTAAGTGTATTCTATTCTGTAAGTGTATTCCTTGTGGTCCTGCTCAGTGGACTACAGGGCCTTCTTCCCTCAGGTTGGACTCTTCATGTTGGGGAGTTGTACCAAAGTTAGTGTATCTAATGCAAAGGTGAAATTAATTGTTTATCCATTGTTATGGCACCATGGCAATATTAGTGATAAATCTATCAGTTAATTACATCAGTAATTTATTGTTTAAATCTGTACACAAATATGAAAATTATAAATACTTAGTATAGTAGATTGCAAAAACATTCCCAAGTGTTAATGAATGTTGTCAGGCCATATTACATCAATATATTCCTGAAAATCTTTGTTAAGCCACAGATCATGAAGCTGTTCTATCACTTAAAGAGTGGGATTTTTCTTTTGAGAGAAAGCAATTACTTCTGCTTAGAATGGTGATATTCTTATTGACTCGGTTCAATATTTTATGCTATTATCATTTGGACTGTAATATAAACCTGCAACTATTTTATGCTGACTCATTTCCTTATAGGTACAAAGAGGAATCCAATTCGAGAGCAGTTTGTGCACATCTTAGAGGGAAACCTGACTCAAAATCCTGTCGTTATACCAAGCTTATTTCCAAAGTTTCTCAAAGTCACGAATAAAGGTCAAGCGGAGTATGTCACTCAGTTGGAAGGTTAGACTGCCTCATTACTTGTATACTGTATATTAATATTTTAATTGTATATAGTATTGATATTATTTACACCAATTCTAGCCATTTCCAAAAGTTTTTCTTTATATTTTATTTGTACACTGCTTTCTCATGCTGATGATCATTCTCACGCGAGACATCTGGACAAAATGTCAGTGGTATGAAATGTTATGGAATGCAAGATAATTACAGACAAATTAATCGTCCTAACCTCACATATCTGAAAGCTTATGAAGGGGAAATCTTCATGAGCCTTTGAGAGGAAATCATTAACCATCTCAGTGTACCTTCTTGTAAAAGCATGATTTTATAAAAAAAATAGTAATAATCCTGTCTAGCTAACCTGCTGATATTGATGAAAATTGTAAACAACTGCTCAGATTAAGGACGTCCAGTAGATGATGTATAACATGGACTTCTCTGAAGATTTTGATTAGGCACAAACTGCAACACATGCAGTAAATGGCAAAATACTAAAATAGATAAACAATGGAAAACAAAGAAAGGAAAGGATCGTTCTAAATGGAAATAAATCCGACTTGTAAAATGCTGTTGATTACTGTAGGATTCCATTTTGGGACCAAGCCGTTTTGGAATATAGATGATCGACATAAATGAGAAAATTTACAATCCTTATCATCTAACTTGCAGATGACAAAGATCTATGGTAAAGTGTGAAGTAAAAGCATTGAGGCCATGCAATGTACCATAACGACCTCCACAAATGGTCAAAAGACAGGCAAATGTTTTTCATTGTTGAAAAATGCAAGGCTTCTCATGTAAGGTGTAACAATACACATCATGCATCCCATAACAACACAACCATACAGTATATTAATAATAAAAAGACCTAGGAGTTATGATCCACCCATCATTAAAAATTGCCCAGCAAGTAAAAGATGCTTTTAAAAAAAGCCAACCAAAATTTAGAAATAATTCAACTTACCTTTATTTTCATAGAAAAGAAAGTGGTTATTCAAGTATACAAGTGTCTGGTGTGCCCCCGTCTGGACCACTGTATCCAAGCTTGAAGACTTGACCTCAAAAGGACATATTTGCTTTGGAATAAGTTAAATGCAGAGCAAAAAGAAGTATCCCAGGACTATGCCAATTTTCAACCAGGAAGGTGCCTCAGGAAAGTAATCCTGAGGTGCCTCAGGATTAACAGCACTACAAATTAGACATGATAGAGCTGATCACATCGAGACCTTTAAAATACTGAACAAGTTGGAAGATATTAATCCAGATCACTTCTTTAAAAGATTTAATTAAACTCTAACAATGAGTAATAGCTTAAAGCTCTACAAGCCATAGTGTAAGACAGAAAACAGTTGAAGCCTTTTCACCCATTAGGTAATTAACCCATGGAATCACCTTTCCAACGATGCCATAAGTGGCAAGACAGCTCTATAGTTTAATATTCATCTGGGAGAAATGTACAATTTGACTTGTAATAATTAAGTGCTTTTTTGTATGTACAGCAGTGGGCTGTGAGCTTTATCCTTAATACATTTTTGTATTGATCTGTGCAGGAAAGAAAAAAGGATTTGTAAACCTGAAGTTCACCTTGCAATCTGATGGGTTTGGCAACCTGTCATCAATACAGGAGTGGTGGGAAGTTGAAGAAGACTGTGCAAATGGCTATTTTGACTGGCTGCCTCGAGGGCGGCAATGTCACTTTCTCACTTTATATACGTTCAGTGATAAGGCGTTTCCAAAGGGTTTGAGCTTCATCTCCGGCGGCGGGTAATTCCCACATCTTTAAAGTTTTACTTTTAATATTTATATATAATTTTGTATATGATTGTTCCAAATAGTTTTGATATAATAAAAGTTTGAAAAGAATTATTTATAGTACTTGGATATTAACATAAAACTTTATTTATTAGTTTTTCTTACATTGAGACTTACAATATTGTATATCTGTATTTAATACATTTGTAGAGCATAACTTTTATTAAGTATTACTTCAGTATTTTTAAGCTATGAAGAAATGGGATTACTAAGCTTTGGTGTGTTTTAAAGGATTGTGGGGATGTACACAACGTTGGTCTTGGTGGCTGGCAAGATGCTCCGTGGCTACTTCGCTGGATCTGCAGTTAAAATAATGTTTGATGATTTGCCAAATGTTGATCGTATATTACAGGTGAGTGGAATCAATATTTTAAAGATAAATCTGGGAAAAATGTTCAAGGAAGATTGAATGATAAATTTATGTGAGTATTTGAAGACCACTATCTTTAGTGGCCTCTCTAGAGAAAGAAGCTGGTGGCTTGTGAAAAGGTTTCTCCATTCCTAAGGATTTTATCATTTTATATTCTGAAGTGCAGTACTGTTTTGGTATTTACAGCTATGGTGGGTAGATGAGTCCTTGGGTTTATTCCATTATGGGTGAAAAAAAGTCTCATGTTTTCTGTACTGCATTGTGGCTTGAGCTTGAAGCTGTTGCCCCTTGTTAGTCATGTTACATCTTTATTAATAGTGGTCTGAATTAATATCTACCTATTTCAGTGTTTTAACCCTATTGGGCAATATACACTTCAGGCATCCATTGCTTTACAGTAATGGTTAGTGAGTTTTAACTTCATTCTATATATTGTATATCAAATTGTGCAACCTAACCAATCAAACTTAACTTTTAGCATAGCACTATATTGGAGCGAGACCCTCTTAGTAGCTTACCTGTGCATAACAGGACTGACATCCAGGGGCCATGATTGATATGCCAGACATTTGTTACAATCTCTGCCTAACACAAGCAAGTACCATTTCTCACTGACTGACCCATCTGAGGCAGGGAGCAAACTGCCCTTATAAAACAAAAAAACACAAATCATCCCAAAGTATTTTTGGTAATTCTAAAACTACCAAACAAAATTCTGCTGAATTCTCTGAAAGCCTCCACCTCAGGTCACCAGCCAGCCACCTCACACTCGTATCATGTACCCTATTGGATAGGCCTGTTTTGTCGGGGACTTCAGATTAATCACTGGCTAAATAGCCTGTGATTATCCTGGACTTTGTCCTGCACATTTGGGACTTGTTTTTAATGTTTCATATGTATTTACTAGTCACCTTGAGTGTTCCATGGTCTGGCAGGTGAGGAAGGTGTGGGAGAATGAATCTCACTTGATTAGTGTTTTGCTTGGTAGTTTTTGAATTTCCAAACATTCTTGGTGGTAGTTTTGAATTATGATTTTTTTTAAAGATCATTCATCTTATTAATGGGTTGATCTCTATCTACCTCATGGTAAGAGGCAAGTCAGTACAAAATGGTGCTTGTTTCTAGTAGGCAAAGATTGTTACAGAAGCCTGGCATGTCCAATGTAGCCCAAAGATGCCAGTGCCATTGTGCAAGGGAAAGGTACACATGAGGCCTACCCAAAAACATATTTTGGGATCATGAGATGGTTTGAATGTTCTTTTTGCATTCTTTTTGCATTGGATTTTAGTAGTTATGGCTGAAGCGATAAAGGATTGGTGTTCATAAAATCGAGGATGGTTGCTAGACGTAAATTGTCCTTTAGCATAATCTATCTCCAGTTGCAGAGAGAGTACTCTCAGGAAAAATTCAATAGGTTGTAGATTATGACCATCCATTGGAAGGAAAGAAAATTATAAGCTATGACCTGTTTAACCTGATTAAAGTTAATACGTTTATTAACAAAAATCAGTACAATAAAATACGGGTACAGTATTATTTTATTTTATTTATATACAAGAAGGTACATTGGGGTTAAGAGAGTACATAGAAATAATGTTGATTTTACATTCTTGTAAAGCCACTAACATGCATAGCGTTTCGGGCAAGTCCTTAAACTAACAGATAATTTCAAGTAGATAATTTACAGTAAAACTGACAAAAAATGTCTACAGGTATATTGTAAGAAATTTTGACACGATAAACAAAGATTAGATTAATACACAATAATAACAGATAATTTAAAAGATTAATTAGAAGATTTTGTATCAATTTGCTATGGTAATTAGAGGATTTTGTATCAATTTGCTATGATGAAGACAAATTTCTTTTTTTTCTTTATCATCAGCTATGCCTTGACATCTATTTGGTACGAGAGAGCAGCGAGCTGGAGCTGGAGGAAGATCTCTTTGCTAAATTGGTCTTCCTCTTCCGTTCACCTGAGACTTTAATCAAATGGACACGGCCACCAGAAGAGGAAACTCCTGAAGGAGAGGATCCCCAGTTAGAATAAAGTGGATGAGCTTGATTAATGTTCAAGAAATCTAATGGCAGGAAATGGCAACGAATATCATTGACATTTTACATTTCATTTTACACTGCCTGACCTTCGGTTCGACCTTCAAATGTCCAGTTATTGTGACTTAGTGTTTGTGTGCCTAATCAGGCATCTAGCCATCCTTCACTATCTCCCGAGGTGAGAGGCCTGCTATTTACAGTAGTTTAATGGCCGGTCACAAGATATGAAAGTGTGACCTCTGCGCCTGGTACGATGACCGTCTCTTGTTTTTGCTTACCCATAGCCATCAAAACCACCCCACTCTATTGCAAATTAATTTCAGTGAATACATGTTGCATTCTGCTACTATGACTTAAAAGATGTAAAAAATGTGTTCTTTAGGGCTTCAGCAAGCAATGATGCCAAGAGAAAGCATACGGTGATGAATTTAAATACAAAAAACATTATTTTTAACAATCTGTAAAAAAGCTGAATCTAGCATTCCTAAAGTGTCATGTGCACTAAATATAAAGTAAACAAAATCACTTTTTGATATTAAACAATAGGAAACAAGTTCCAGAATGGCTAATCAAAGAGTGGGTGTGAGTGTCTGGCATGAATATACTGGGTGGGTGTAAGGTATGAGTTAGGGTGTTCGCATGAATGTTGGGTGTGGGTATCGGGCAGGACTGTGGACATCGGGTGGGAGTGCGGGCATTAGGAATAAGTATGTTTGTCAGTAATGGGTGTGGGGAGTTTGTGGGATTGTGCTGCTGGGAAGATGACAGTGTTGCTGAGAGTGGCAGCCCTTTTTTGTCCTACGTGACCCAGTCTCACACAGTTAAGACCGTACTGGATCATGTTCACCCTATATGGGGAGAAGGGGTCAGAGGGTTGATGATGGATGGTAGGTGAGAGGTGTTTACTCGAGCCATGAATTACAAATGGCTGTACTTAATATTTGCATATGTTTATTCAAATTAAGTCAACAAATATGTTTATTTCCTTCCTTCCTTACATAATTCTAAGATATTTGGGTAGTTTTATGAACCCAATTAATCATATTGGCTTGCCAGAGAAAGGTGAAGTGGTGCTATTTCTTTATAGCATCTCATCATAACCACATGGTGATAAACAAGTGAGGAGGCAATGTTTGCTGCATTGCCACCCAACACAACTTTCAAGCTCCTTCCTCAATTAACACCATTATATATAAATATATTCGACTACCGGTAATCATCATTCTAAGATCGTATGTGGAGAAACATCTCGACCCTTGCGAGTACCCATATTAAGTACCGTAATTTGTATTCCTAATATTCTGTTTAACCCAAACAATATTCTGTTGTGTATTTGTTTAAAGTATCTAGTGAAGCTGTCAACTATTATGAATTTTCAAGCATGAAATTATTATTTTAGGAAGTTGGAAAGAGTTACCAAATGTTCGATCATTTCTACATTTCCAGTCACAATCAGAACCAAACTGATCATACTGGGGAATATCAAATAGTTAAGCAGCATCATCTGTGAAAAATTCTGAGCAATAATTTTGAACATTTGAAAATGACAAATTCTCACCATTTAATTACCATATCATTTCAACCCTCCATACTAACAGCTGGGGGGCAGAAGCTATATACTGTATAATTCTTTTAGCGAAGTGGCCAACACGGCCATTTCACAATTGAAAGGTCTGGGGTTGGTTTTCCACTTGGGACAGATATGCTTGGGCAGTTCCCTTACACCTGATGCCTCTGTTCACCAAGCAGTAAATAGGTATCAGGGAGTTAGCCATTGTTGTAGGTTGTATCCTAATGAAGGTCAGTAGTTGACTTAACACTTTCGTCTGGTAACGACGCAGCATTGCGTCGAAAATTTAGTAGACGAATGTCTGATAACGACGTTAGAGCATCAAAAATTGGCGGCGACTTCGGGAGGGGTGTGCCGCAGTTTTGGACATTATATGTATATACTCCTGTAGGGGATTTCATTGTGAATACATTGATACGAAAATGAAAGACCTAGGACCAGAATTGAGGTAACAAAGTTGAAAAGAGTAAACACATTTTATTGCTCTTGATGAGCGCTCACTGGGGTAATGCTCTTGTCACTTTCTCTGTTTGCTATGGGTGGTACGCCGGGCTTTTGGACTTTATATTTGCATATACTCCTGTAGGGAATTCTATTGCAAACACAATGATACCAAAATGAAAGACCTAGGATGAGAATTGAGGTAACCAAAGTGAAGAGAGTGTACACATTTTATTGCTCTTGCACACTCCCGGGTAACACGCTCTCACTTTCTCACTTGGGCAGATGATGAGTCACAATAACCTGGCTGAAATATGTTGACCAAACCACACACACTAGAAAATGAAGAGACGACGACGTTTCGGTCCATACAGGACCATTCTCAAGTCGATTGTAAGAACGGTCCAGGACGGACCGAAACGTCATCATCTCTTCACTTTCTACAGTAGTGTGTGGTTTGATCAACATATTTTTCACTTGGCTTTTGGGCTTTATATGCATTTAGTCCTGTAGATAATTCTATTGCAAACACATTGATACCAAATTGAAAAACCTAGGACGAGAATTGAGATGGCAAAGTTGAAAAGAGTACTGTATACACTTTTCAGTATTACCGCGTGCTCCTGTGGAATGCCCGGACCCACCTGAGGTAGCGTGGCACTTGCTCGCCCAGAACAACAAAGTGTTAAGGACCTAGATAAGCCTAATGAGGATTTTTCTGCCCCAACAACAGAAAACTAAACTTGACTTGGATTGATGAATACTGTACTGACTTGCATTGATGAATGCTGTGTAAAAGTATTCTTCATTTTCATAGCTTGTATTGGAAAGTTGTCACTTCGAATGTACAGTACATTACAGCAGTAAATTAAATCAGAAATGTCAGATATGCACAAAGCTTTAGAATATATCAAAGTACTGTAGTATGATAACATCTCTCATTTGTTGAGATGTCCTAGGCTGAAGAAATGGCAATACTCTTTGTATATGTATTATCAGTTAATAATTTAGTTTGTAAATTTTAGTGCAATAAATATGGCTAGATGTAAATTTGAGTGCAATAAATATGGCTAGATGTAAATTTGAATGCAATAAATATGGCTAGATATGGTACTTATTGACCAATTATAGTTAATATAATGGCCAAAACCGGGTAATTTTCATGTATAGCTTCACAGTCATAGCACATAAAGTAGTAACTAGTAAATCTACAGTATTTGGGTTATGGCCCTAGCTTGAATTTTCTAACTGTGAATTGTGGTACCTTTTGTATGTAGGTGATTTAACTATACACAGAGATTGTCTTTAAGGTGCCCTGACAGAACGACAGTAAACCACACAGTATGGTAAACAATATACAGTATTGTATAGAGTTGATGTACAGTTACAGCTTGGTGAGATAATGTTGGGACATTGCAGTTCGTAATGTGTGCGTAGCCAGATTCCTTAAGTCGAGGTGATAGACAACCCATAATGTGTGTTGGCAGAGTGCGTCTGATGAGATGGCATGGTTGAGGCAGGTCAGCGGAGACGTTACTCCAGTCTGAACTGTGGTAGAAGGGATTCTGGTTTGGTGTTGGCCTTAATGCCTATCAATCTCTTGGAGAGTTATTAAGGCAACCACAAGTGCTTACTGACCAACCATCAATAATACTTTGGGTCTGAACATAGTCCAGGGTAAAAGTAAACTCCGTTGATGTGCAAATTGTTGATTCAGTGTAATTACCCAAGTGTAATTACCTAAGTCTAATTACAGGATGAGAGCTACACTTGTGGTGTCCCGTCTTACCAGCACTCTTTGTCATATGACGCTTTGAAATTACTGATGGTTTTGGCCTCCACCACCTTCTCACTTAACTTGTTCCAACCGTCTACCACTCTGTTTGCGAAAGTAAGTGTGTGTGTGTGTGTGTGTATATATAAAAATATAAATAAATAAATGTTTATTCAGGTAAAGTACATACATACAAGAGGTTATACAAAAACTGATATTTATAGATAGCTAGTATATACAAAGCCTAAAGCCACTATTACGCAAAGTGTTTCAGGCAGGAAAAACATTAAAGACTAAAACTTAATACTAATTGAGATTAAAGTATAAAATGTGTTGAGAACAAATAAAAATAAAAAAGGGGAGAACATGGCAGAAAAAGCAGCACAAATACAATTAGGTCGACAAACAGTGTTGTTTAAAAAAAAAAAGACATGGGTTGACAATATAGGGGTAAGGTAGGTTACAGGGAATTTATTAGGTAGTGCTTAGTTTTTATCTTAAACTGGTTGAGAGGGGTACAGTCTTTAACATGATTGGGAAGGTCATTCCACATTCTGGGTCCCTTGATTTGCAGAGCATTTCTAGTTTGATTAAGTCATACTCTTGGAATATCAAAACGGTATTTGTTTCTGGTGTGGTGCTCATGGGTTCTGTTACAACCTTCAATGAAGCTTTTGAGGTCAGGATTGGCATTACAGTTCAGCATTTTATATATGTATAATACACATGAGAGGATATGCAGTGACTTAATATCTAACATATTCAGAGATTTGAGTAGGGGTACCGAGTGATGTCTGGGGCCAGAGTTGGATATTGTCCTAATAGCAGCTTTGTGTTGAGTAATTAGAGGACGTAAATGATTTTGGGTAGTAGAACCCCAAGCACAAATACCATAGTTGAGATATGGATAGATGAGGGAGTAATAGAGCGTCACCAGAGCAGGGCGAGGTACATAATATCTGATCTTAGAAAGAATGCCAACAGTTTTTGAAACTTTTTTTGATATGTTTAGTATGTCCCTGGAAATTCAGCTTGTGGTTAATGAGAACGCCAAGGAATTTGCTATCTATTTTGTTACAAATTTGGGTATTGTTTATCCTGAGATTTATTTGATTAGAGGATTTATTGCCAAACAGAATATAGAAAGTTTTGTCAATGTTAAGGGTGAGTTTGTTGGCAGTTAGCCAAAGATGGACTTTATTTAGCTCGGTATTCACTGTGACATTTAGAGCAAGGGGGTCAGGACTGGAGTAAATGCAGGTTGTGTCGTCAGCAAATAGAATTGGTTTGAGGTGTTGGGAGGCATTTGGAAGGTCATTAATGTAGATGAGAAAGAGAAGAGGGCCAAGTATGTTGCCCGGAGGAACACCAATGTTGATGGGTAGGGTGGGAGAAATTGAATTATTCACAGAAACATACTGGAGCCTGTCAGTAAGGTAAGATTTGAGGTATTGCAGGGAGTGTCCTCTGACTCCATAATGATGTAATTTAAGGTGGTGGTTTTGGTGGGTTGACAGTGTCAAAAGCCTTACCCAGGTCCACAAATAACCCAACAGGGAACTCATTTTTATCAAGAGCTGCATGAATCAAGTTAATCATACTAATAAGTGCATCGTTAGTGCTTTTTTGGGGTCTGAAGCCATATTGACAAGAGCTAAGTATATTGTGTTTGGCTAGATAAGAGTAAAGCTGCTTGTAGATTAATTTTTCAAATATTTTTGACAAGTTAGGCAGGATTGATATAGGTCTGATATATATTAGTGATATATATTATAGATATATTAGTGTGTGTGTGTGCATGTATATATATGTGTGTGTATATATATGTATGTGTGTGTGTTTGTGTGTATATATGTATGTGTGTGTGTGTGTGTATATATATGTATATATATATATATATATATATATATATGTGTATATATATATATATATATATATATATATATATATATATATATATATATATATATAATAATGTGTGTGTGTATATGTATGTATGTATATATATATATACAAACTGGAAAAGGTGCAAAGACATGCCACTAAGTGGCTCCCAGAACTGAAGGACAAGAGCTACGACGAGAGGTTAGAGGCAGTAAATATGCAAAAACTAGAAGATAAAAGAAAGAGGTGATATGATCACTACATACAAAATAGTAACAGGAATCGATAAAATTGATAGGAAAATTCCTGAGACCTGGAACTTCTGAACAAGAGGTCATAGATTTAAACTAATGAAACAAATCTGCTGGATACATATAAGGAAAATCACTTTTGTAAACAAAGTGGCAGACGGAACAAGTTAGGTGAGAAGGTGGAGGATATCAACACCTTCAGTAATTTCAAAGCTTTATATGACAGTGCTGGGAAGACAGGACTCCATGAGCGTAGCTCTCGTCCTGTAACTACATCTTTGGTAATTATACTTGGGTAATTACTGAGAAATGGAATACAGTACACCTCTTGGTGTATATATCCCTGTATTATGATAATGCTAGGTATGTCTTATTTCTGGTGGTAGTAGAAATGAATCGGAAAGCAAAGGTCTAGCATACTGAAGAGGAATTGTCGTTCAGTCAGGCATGTAAGGAAGCTAGGCAAGTACAAAGAGAAACTACAGAAATAAACGGTCACCAGAGGGAGATACTAGAGAGCTGGAAATAAGTAACTCGGTGTGGGAAGAAAAGCGGAGAGATAACAATCGGGTAGAGAAAGAGATCTGGGGATTGACATCACACTGAACCTGTTACCCAAAGCCCATATCAAAAAAATTATCATCACTGGCATATGCTAGACTGGCCAATACAAGAACTGCCTCTAGAAACTTGTGTAAGGAATCATTTAGAATCCTGTACACCACATATGTCAGACCAATCCAGATGCATGTGGCCCCAGCATGAAGTTCATATCTATTCAAACACATGTTGAAGGTAGAAAACGTTCAAAGGTTTGCCACCAGGCTAGTTCCTGAGCCAAGTGGTATGAGCTATGAGGAAAGGCTACTGGAATTAAATCTCACATCACTGGAAGACACATGAGTTAAGGGAGACATGATTACCACCTACAAAATTCTCAAGTGGAATTGACAGGGTAGATAAAAGACAGACTATTCAGCACAGATGGTACATGAACAAGGAACGACAGGTGGAAATTTAGTATCCAGATATCCAGTAACCTATACACCAGTTGATTGATGGCAGAGAGGCAGGACCAAGGAGCCAAAGCTCAACCCCTCCACTAGCACAACTAGGCAAGTACAGTACTTGCAATGTGTAGACTAATGCTTCTTGCTGACTGATCGAGTAGCAGCAGCTTCATCCTGGAAAGTGTGCAGATATCTGTGTAGTGTCTATGATTTATACATTATGAATGTAGGAGTAGCAGATGTGGATGCTTGATGCAGCTGCTGCACTTTGTTTAGAATTTATAGGAATAATAGATACAGTACTTTTGTTAAGCAGGTAATTTGAAGTCTGTGTTGGTAATTAAATATAAAAAATTAGCTAAATGGTGGATGAATGTTATTGAGTATATTAATGAATGTACGGGGTATGACAGTAGTTTGATAAAATAAATGATTGGTATTGTATAAATGATTTAGCAATCCAATAAATGTTACTTGCATTACTTGACATTAAAGATATTGATATTAGAGAACCTTCTTGGGTAATTGGGCACATCTGATAATAATAATAATTTGTCAAATCTTGTAAAATTTTATAATGTGATTGATTAGGCCCAAGATAAATTTTAACAATAAAATAGGTGTTAATGTAATGAGGGAAATATAATTATTGTACAGCGGTGTCATCTGTTATCAGAAGTATTTAACATTGTACACTTTATGCATCATCTAGACTTTTGTATAATTCTGACTTTTTAATTTATAATTCATTACAAAAACCTTCCTCATTAGCACAAACAATAGAACTCTAATATATAAATATTTTTTACCCAAATCACACGAAAAAGTACATTTTAAATTAAATATTTTTATGCATCTCCAACACAAATTACTAAAGCATATTGGTTCCAAAGTATAAAAAATTGCCCTTTTCAAGTGATAGGTCTTTGGATAATACACATTATTAATTTGGCTTGGGATAATGCTGACTATACCCTCCCCCCCATTTAGTTAATTCAGACCTATGCTTGAGATGCCTGGATAATTTGGCTTTGTTTTAACTGAGTAAATATACATTTTAATCAGAAAATTAATTCCTATATGTAAAGCAAGTGAAATACTAGATGTGTGTGTGTGTAATTTTGCTTCAAAACATGGGGGGTACAGTATTTAGCTACAATGATGTAAGGCAGGCTGTTATTTCTTAAAATACAGTACCTTATAACTTTTGACTGCTTGAATTTATGCAGCCAATACTCAATAGCAAAGAATTTCTTGTTGGAGTAGGCACCTAATACTTTTACATGAATTTCATTAGTTCATTATATGATGATAGTTCCTAAGAGGGTATTACTTAAGTGTTCAATGCAGGCCAGACAAGCAGCATTGAGCACATTCCAATGCTTTAAACAATAAAGCTACCTCACTGGAGTCAGAATTAATTGAGGCTGCTTTAATCATTCAGATTTGTTGTATTTGCTTCCTTCAGAAAATTGTTGAGGATCTGATTGCAGAGACTTCACAGTAGGTACGGTATTGTATTTTTTTAATAAATCCGTGTACTATCACATGCAGCATTTTGGGCATATATTAAGATTGTGTTACTGTATTTCTTTACTTTCCAAAATCTCAAATGATGTAAAAAACTCATTTACCAGTTATATCATCAGAATTAAGTAAATAAACACTGATAAAAATGACAACAGATTAATGCTGTCCACATTCATAAATATTACGTATTACCAAGCACTGAAAAGTGACTTATGTATTATGTAATAAGCTGTATATGTATTAAATACAGGTACTGGTATGTATAATAAATGTTTGAATATGATATTCAGTAATATTTTTTTTATGAATTCATTATCCATGAATAAATGCATTTTACAAGTAAGTGTGTTGTATTAACCAGTCTCGATGCTACCTGTACTGTAATTTTGTCTTTAATAAAATAATTATTACTATAGTTAGATTTTATGATTATGTAATTATTTTTTACTGTCCTGGTCATAACCTTGTTGTGGAGGGGTCTTGCATACTGTTTACCAGGTTGGCAGGTTGCTTATTTTAGCCTTTCTTCTAGTAAAAGGTATAAGAACCTGACCAAATATGTCCAAAATCTTATTTATGTTTGTAGTGTGAATGTTGATTGTGGAGTAAAGCATCAGAACCTCAACAGGGCAAGACTTTTATGCTGCAAGTCATCATCTTGCCCCTTCACACTGACTTGTGTGGTTGGGGTACAACAGGCCTAGCATGAATCTGGCCCCTCTGCAAGTTTTGTTCTTCCCTTAATCCTGATGGCTCCAAGAGTTCTGTTGTACTGATCCTTGACTCGGCATCTGCCTCACCCCCTCCCCCAATATTTCTGCACGCTGCAGTTGCCCTGTTCAGCCTGGTTTTTGTGGTTGCATTCGTTAACTGTTCTTTAGAAATTCCCATTTGGTTTTTAAACTTGCTTTCTTATTATGGATCTACCCATTGAGCCCGCTCTCGCTATTTGTGAGTTTGAGGGAGGGAGTTTGTTGGCTTTGCTGCGAACATTTTCTGCCTCTGCCAGAGTCCTGTTGTGTTTAGACCCCTAGGGAGGTCTATGTCTAATCCTGCTTCTGAGCTAGATTTATCAGTCATCTGCCCCTTTCTGAACTAGGTTTGCTCAGGTTCAGCATTCATGTCTTTGTGCTCAATTGGGTACCCTGGAGTTGGCTTATACAGTATTGTACTATGTTTAACAACCCAGAATTAGTGGTGTTGGCAAATTCCACTCTGGTTTCATCAACACCACCACCTCTTCTGTGGTTTGCCCTGCTTCTGTTTCTTACCCCTCACTGACTGCTGACACTGACATTTTTTCTTTATTTCATATCTATGGAGCTGTATTTTTTGTCTACATTCTATGAAAATTAATTAAAAATATTGTACTGAAAATAATAAATTATTTTTAGTTTACTATTTTTAAAAGTAAAATATGATCCACACCTTCGATATAATGTTACAAAATACCTAAAAATTACTGCCATATTTACCAGTAATCATATTGACCCAATTTTATATTTACAAAGTTTCTCTTGTGAAAATAGCAAACAGGAAAATATGGTTTACTTTTACATTTTATTTGTATTTTTATAGTCATGAAAATATATAGAAATGGAATTTGTGCCTCTATTCTCACACTATTTATAGCATTTTTACTTTTTGGAAATATATTAGTTCAAGGAATAATAACCAGCAGAAAATTCACAATATAATTCTGTAGGACATTTCTACCCCTTCATCCTGTAAACTGAATGATTCCTGTACATGTAAACCAAAAATAAACTTTATATTTTAATATATATATATATATACTGTATATAATATTTTATAAATACTTGAAAATTCCATATACCCTGGCTGGGTATATGGGTACCACGGCTCTGTTTTGCCTCATGCAAGTGGAGGTTCTAGTCCCAGCCAGGGCATTTGGAATTTTCAAGTCTTTAGACAGTCTATGCCTATGACCTTGCAGAATAGCATATTGCTATAATATCACACTTCGAAAGTGCAAGTAATTAATTCAGCAGTCACATGGGAATCACATCTCAAGATATAGGTAAATGACTAAAATTATTACACACAGAAATGACACTAACGTGATGTATCCAATGAACAAATCCACAAGGGCCGTGACGAGGATTCGAACCTGCGTCCGGGAGCATCCCAGACACTGCCTTAATCGACTGAGCTACGACAGGGTTAAAAAGAGTTGAAACCAAAGTTCTTCTGAACTTAATGGATCAGTGTCCAGTGAACTTACTGGATGTCAGTGTCTGGTATGCTCCCGGACGCAGGTTCGAATCCTCGTCACGGCCCTTGTGGATTTGTTCATTGGATACACCACGTTAGTGTGATTTGTGTGTGTAATGATGTAAGGGTGAAGAGGGAGAACGTCCTATTGACATAGCTCGAGTGCAGGGGAAGGTTGTGTAAAATCCTGGTTTGTGCCTCAGAGAGGCTGTGGGATCCAGTAAGATCAGTAGAACTTTGGTTTCAACTTTAACCCTGTCGTAGCTCAGTCGATTAAGGCAGTGTCTGGGATGCTCCTGGACGCAGGTTCGAATCCTCGTCACGGCCCTCGTGGATTTGACTAAAATTATCTTCTGGAAGATAACACCATTTATATGTTTGTGTTTATCTTATTTTACTTGCAAGAATAGACATATGCTTGTGTATTGTAACTTGTGTGCACAGCTGTGCGGGAGTTTGTAAGTGTAATTATCCAAGTGTATTTACAGAATGAGAGCCTATGACCATGAGTGTGTGCACTGCATGTAAGTATATGCCTACTTAGATCTGAGAGTATGACCGTTGGTGTGTGTTGATATAAAATATGGAATACAGAATATTGAGAATGTGTATATCGCCACAATAAACCACATACTTAAAATTATATATACAGGTTGCTAAGAATATTTCATCCATAAAATATGTTGTACAATGTATACAATTAAAAGAACAGTGCTCAAAGTACATATTTATGACAAAAGAAAAGCTTAATACTGTATTACTTTCCAATTCGCAGTAGTTGAATAATTTTTAAATCAAACGAACTTCAGTATATAAAAAAAAAGAGGGGGACACCCTAACAAATTCTGTGCTCATAATATATTACAATCCAATTCAAAATATATTGCATACCTAAACTAGCACACGTATTACCCTAAATAGAGAAGCCACTCTACTAAGCATGAAATGAACCATCTTGTAAAGGACCTAAAAATATTAAACAAAAATACATTCCTATAACTATTAAAAATTAAGAAAAAAAACATATGGTTATTTCCTATACTAAACCTGCAACTAAATAATAATTTATATTTACAGCACTAATTTATCTAATAAAAAATGTACTGTAATAGTGTGTATTTCTACTATTCAAATAGAGTATAGTGCCTAAATTTGTATGCATGTTATAAGCAGAGTTAAACTAATAACAGGTAAGGCAGAAATGACTTAAATTGTTACTGATGACTGTGAGCAGTAGATTAAATCAGTGCATTCATTCAAACTTTTTCAACACCCTAGCTATGTATCACAGCACATTATATATACGAGTTAATACACTTTATGCTACTCAAAGTCCCAACTAATAATCTTAAAAACCATTCCTTATAACTGTGTGTGTATATACATGGCAAACAATGTAATCATACAATGATGTGTAAACAAAACAGTGTGAAGGATTATGACTGCCACCAAGCATTGTCCACATGTTTACAATTGAAGTGTTTGTTGTGTAAGTCATCAACAATGAGAGTTTTATTGTCTATAAACATCTCTTGTTTTTAATGAGAATCTGAACTTGTACATAAATATAAATTAATATTCTCATCACTTGTTATTTATCAGAATAAAAAATTACTTATTAATTTATAAAAACATTCACCCATTCTGGGTAAACCACTCAAAGCATGCAAATCTTCTATACATATAAATAATTTGTAATAGCTTGTGACAGTGTAAGAATGAACATGTTGCTTAAGGTGAATAGTAATGTTTTATCCATGTAACATGGAATGATCTATAATTCCTGAAGGACAGTTTCTGACTAACAAGGAATACTGCACAATAACAAAGTGCTTGGATTCCACACAAAATTCTTTAAATAAATGTATGGTAATGCTCAAGACTGAGGATGTAAGAATATTAATGTGATTAAAGATCACAGATGACAAAAGCTTAATGTGTTTAAATCATAAACATGGTCACCAATGGCCAACTATGTTATGAGAATTAACATTAATATTTTTTAGAATACGGAAATTAAAAATTTCCAGCTTTTTCTAAGCAATTAATGACAATTTTAATTACTATATATTTCTAGATTCCTAATTTAGCATTATTATTATAGGATGTTACTTAGGCACGTCATGGGTTGGCCACATCTGTACGCGGAAAATTGTAGCTCTACAAAACTGAGAATCACATAAGAGCCATTAATAAATCAACTTATTAACTTCCATTTCAGGTAGTTGTTACAGATCATATTATGCATATATTTCATTCATATACAAAGTACAAAGCCAAAGAATGGTTCATTACAGTTTCTAAATGCAGTAGACACCTGTTAATTTGTAGTATTTCTGGGCCTATTATAAATTTACTGATCAAATTCACTTTAAAAACCATACAGTAAAAATTAAATAGGATCCTGCTACCTGTACTTATTTTTAACCAGTAAAAATTGACATCTACCAAACTACCTGTAAAACATTGGGGTAGATGAATGGTTTTTAAACTTACGATCTTAAATTGTTTAGACATGGACAACCAACCTTCAGAGGAAGAGAATTCTGGGGTGCAGATGCCTCATTATTTAATGAATGCCATTAGTCATTCAGGACACAACCTAATGAGTACTTGTCCCAAATTCTGCTTCATTACTCTTCCAAAATTTCTTAACCTGTTTGGTTTAAATGTATGTATTCTTATTTTTATAAGACCTACAGAAAGCAATCACAAATAAGAAATTATCAAAAGGGGTAATTATCAGATTCACTAAGGATTTAGTCACGGGACAAAACTCAATAGAACAAAATTCATAAGGTTAGGCTAAACTGAATGAAATAAGCTATAATATTTGTCATTATGAAATATACAAATCACACTCAAGCATGCACTAACAGACTTCACTATTTTGTACTTTGTAGCACTGGTGATTTATGGTTAGGTTCAAGATTATTCAGAAGCACTGCTGGAGTACAAGTATTCTATATTTAAGAATTGGGTAGAATAATGTTCAGAGAACCCAGTATAAATGAAGGAGCAAATGATAGAGCATATATCTAATTATACAAATGTTTTAAATAAAAAGAAATATGTAGGTGTTATTAGGATTCAGGACAAACTGCTTCATTTAATCACACAAAATATTAGCTAGCTAGCCTGCCTCCCCCCCCCCCCCCTCCCTCCATCTCTCCCTCCTCTCTCCTTCCTTCCTTTTTTCAAAGGAGTTTTAACGAATATTCAAGAATGTTAAAAGAACAACTAAAACTTTTGTCTTTTATGGTACGTGTGAAACAAAGATGGCTAATACGTGACTAGCTCTTTGAACTTTATGATTTACATTATTAATTGGCATAATTTGTTAATGTCTGATTTTTTTTAATGACTATATTTAATACCCAACCAACACATGAAAATTAAGGAATTTGATGACATTTCAGTTTATCTGGGACACTTATCAATTCATGTCCAGGATGGAATGACATTATTGTATTCCTTTCTTTCCATGTTTGGGTTGGGTATTAATTTTGAGCCACATTATTGTGACATTCTCTACAGACAGTATTTCTCACCATTATAGCGTAACACTTCATGAAGAAATAACACCAGGGTAACATGCTGGTTTGGAAGATGCTTGTTAATCAAATAGGAACGTATAAAATATATATTTACAAAAGCCCACACCACAGATGAAAGCAGCAGGCATTGACAAAGTCCTGTATGAGAGCTTGAACACGACGATCTGTGAATGCTTGCGTTCCACCCTCACCTTTAAGTTGCTTATTAACACAGCATAATTCCTGTATGAAGAGGAAGCAATTATTCCATGATTTTAAAGTAGATATGCTAATAAATCCCAACAAAACATTAAACACAATTTTAATCAAAACTTGTTCAGATAATCTTTTTCATTCAATATCAAATGATTTATATAATGCAATATAAATAAAATAAAAGTTTTATATATATATATATATATATATATATATATATATATATATATATATATATATATATATATATATATATATATATATATATATATATATATATATATATATATTCATGCATAATACAGAATTCCTTTATAATTTGAATTAAGGCTGGAAGCCAAATATAACAGCTTAATTTTTTTTTTATAAATACTTTATACTGTACACAAACTTCTTCCAACTCAGTACACAAACAAAAGCATGTGTTGAATAAATTATTACTCTACTTAATTTGACTTGCAACCACCACAAGCATTTAAGTGTTCTCAGAACCAGTGTTAATCCCATTATTGCTTACTTGCAACTAATAATTTTATTACTTGCAAAATTTTTAATTAAACCAGTAACTTTTCTTCATATTTTTTTTTCTTTTCTTTTTTTTGACTTTTTTTTTTCTTTGACTTTTCAGATTTTCATTTCTATTTGTTTATATTTTAGTATCAATGTTCACTGTGAGATTAGGTGATCAGTGACAATGAATCAGATTGGAGGAGCATCTTTCCAATGCATGGTGATAGTTCTAAAAACTTTCACAGTTTATATAAATTATCTTCCAAAGGATTACATAGTTACATGAACATGTTTGTGGTTTATGCAAATTCTCCAAATTTTTATTAATTTAATAGAGTAACAATAGTAATTTATTAAATTAATAACAATACGAAACCTAGATACTGTTGTACTCTTCAATGTGATCTGGGCAAATTAAATGCTTGAAGCAACACATGGCAAATGAAATTCAGTGTGAACAAGTAATGTTATGGAATGTGGAGCAAATTAAACCAGGGCACATTCATCCTACAAATACAGTTGTAATGCAAACTTACTGCTTTCTGGTAATGTAAATTGATGGAGAGCATCATAAAAGCATCAGAGCAGGTGGAGCTTAACACGACCACATGCTGAATGTTACCATCACTAGATGTTAAACTCCTAATTGAAGAGAAAAAAATAATAGACAGTATAAGGAAAGGCAAAAAACATTATTATTAACTATATCCTTTATAATAAGTAACACACTGAAGGCTGCAGCTAGAACTTTAACAGACTGACAATAAAGCTTAACTTCTGTAGCACAATCAATTTAAGATTCCTAGCTGGTACACACTGCTGGGCTCTGGAGGCTTAAATAAGCAAGTTCTTGAGGCAGACAAACACCTGAACTTTTTCCAGTTGAAGCTCACAAAGCACAACCCTTGTGAGTTGGATAAAAATTATGGGGGCACATTTTAACCAGAAAAGAAGAGCCATAATGGTAACAAATGTGGCCGACACAAAACCCAAAATATTTCTCAAACAATGGATGGATTGAAAATTCATGAGACATCTTCCAGCTCCTTGTATGTAATGATGCATAAACTCTTTCCTGGATCCTTAACAAATGTAACTTCTTCAAACCAGCCTCCACTCTCCTTAATGTACTCTTGTCATACTCCCACAAACAAATGAGAAATAATAAAATAAAATTTAAATGCTTCTCTCATTTACCTCAATGTGTAATACATACAGATTTGTAAAATTTTATAACAATTAATTATGATCAGATGATCATATTTAATTAAACAAGGACTCATATTTCAAGAATAAAGCAAGATTAAAACTAGTAAATAATATGAGTGCTGAGCATAGAACTAATCTAAAAAAGAAACTATTTAACTTCATGTTTCAAACTCCATGCATTCTCCTACACAATACTACCTACTAGAATCACAAGATAACTTGTTCAATATTGCCATATACGAAAATGAGCAAAGCATACCTATGTCGCTCCTGGTACTTAGATTGCAGGACCCTCGTCAGACCTTGATACCACTGCAAAGGTTTGGAGAGGAGGGGCAAGAGCTGTGGATCTACTGAACTTAGAGGCTCAACACTCACCAGGGTTAAAAGCTCACTAAGTTCACTAAAGCTTAATCCACCAAGTATCTGTAATAAGAGACCCAGGAAGTAAATGACAAGTCTGTGAAAAAAAAAAATTTTTAATCAATCAGTGAAGGAATTCAGTCCACTATGCCAAGTCCATCTAATAAGCAATATTATGAGGCATTCTTAGTTAAAATGACCAAGAGATGGACAGTTTTTTTATGTCTAAGAATTCTTAAGTATTGTTAAAAATACAAATGCCACCTCTCTCTCTCACTACACATTTTATACAGGCAACATTTATTTCAGCACAGTATATTCTAATAAAAAAAAAATTATGGGTATCAACTTAAAATGTCTTGTATATGGGAAAATTATATAACTTTGAGAACACTGAAAAGCACTGATATATTCCCAAACACTCCAGGAAAACTATGTACATTCCCAGGCACTCCAGGGAAACTCTGTACATTCCCGTCACTCCAGGGGGGAAATTCTGTACATTCCCAGTCACTCCAGGGAAACTTTCCCTGCTTTCCAGTCTCTGACACTTTGTGGGAAAAAGAATTTGTCTTCATTTCTATCCCCATTTAGACGTTTTGTTTCAATTAGGTTCATTTTCAGCTTTTCTCTGTCTTCCTTTGAGAGGTCTTGTCTTATTAACCAAAGTTTGCAAACCTCATCACTTTGCAATTTCCTGGCATTTCTAAGCACGTCCATCATGTTTTTTTCTCCATTAAACGTCACCCTTAAGGGGCGGTTCTTATCTCATATTTTCCTATTCTAAAATCACTTGACATTTTCCTTTGCGCCTTCTCCTAAACCTACTATTTTCTCTATGATTTTCATCGCTTCTGCTGCTCGGTCCAACCTAGATGAAATTTCCTTCTCTAAACATCCAAAAATTATTATGAACTTACTTCTATCTGCAGTGTTTTATACTATCTTGAGGTTATCTTGAGATGATTTCGGGGCTTTAGTGTCCCCGCGGCCCGGTCCTCGACCAGGCCTCCACCCCCAGGAAGCAGCCCGTGACAGCTGGCTAACACCCAGGTACCTATTTTACTGCTAGGTAACAGGGACATAGGGTGAAAGAAACTCTGCCTAATGTTTCTCGCCAGCGCCTGGGATCGAACCCAGGACCACAGGATCACAAGTCCAGCGTGCTGTCCGCTCGGCCAACCGGCTCCCATTTTTTACTAGTTTACTGTTGGTAACCAGTTCTTTCCTAATTGCTTGCCAAATTTCTGCTTGTTGGTCATTTCTGGTTTTGACTTACGAACACACTTCCTTGATTGTCTCTCTCTCTCTCTTTTACAACTTGTGCAGATGTGTCTCTTATTTCTTCATACTTTTCTAGTTCTTTATTAGCCTCCTCTATTTGAGTTGTCAATGAAGTTTCTCTTTGCATCTCCTTGCCTAAATCCATGTTAGCCCTCAGGCTTCCTTCGAGTAGTTCACCATATGAGTATTTTCTTGTTAATTTCTTCAAATTCCCTACTCTTCACTTTCCATGCCTCATTATCCTTTACTAGTTCCTTGACGTGTTCCTCCTGTATCCTTACCTTATCAGTCAAGCTGGTAATTTCCTTACCTTGCTGGAAAATACTTCCTTTTAAATTACAAAACTCAATTTTGAGACCTTCATTCTCTTGTTCTAATTTAATAACCTTTTCTTCATAATTCTTCAGCATGTCATCAATAATCACTAACTTGCCAAGAAAACCACCTTTCATTGCATCTTGTGAGAAACCTGCAAAATAATCCTTTGTTGGGTGTGTTTTGTGTGTTTGTTTATGAGTGAACTTTCAGTGGTTGCTCTGGCCTCAGCTTTTGTGTGCCTTCCTAGTACTGGCAGGACCCAGCAAGGATGTTTGAAAAAGACCACTGCTGCACCACTGTACCAGCCACCTTGTCTTCATTATTATTAACTTGTTCTTTGGGAAATTAGGTGAGCTTGTCTTAGGGTACATCCAAGTGAAATATCTCCAAAATACAGTTTTTATACAGTATTATGTATTCAAAGTAGGGAACTAAGTATCTCTGTGCTTTTTACCGGAAAACTTCAATCAATGAGGGGGCTCTCATCTCAATTAATCTGCTGGTGGAATTTGTGACTACTGCATTAGAGTCAACTGTATTATAATTCACCAGCTCTACACTTAAGACTATGTAACAGCCAAACATGAAGTCACTGACCTGTTCCCTGGTTAATTTCTGCCTTTCATCTTCTCGAAGACTGGCTGTCAAGCGTTGCCACAGTGAATCTCGTCTGAAACAAACAAAAAATTAAGAGTATACTACATCATAGGCTCATTTATGCTATTACTTATTATGTATATGCATTATTTGATAAAAAGAACAGTTTTATTTTGTTAAGACTTATAAATCAATATACTGTACAGCATTTATCTACGTGTACATGATATATACAAGTATAGAAGAACTTGTGCGTTTGACTGCCAGTTTTCCATTGTCAGGTGCAGGATGGCCGTTCGATTTATCGAGGTCCCACTTAGACCAACATCTGACCTTCCTCAGTATGTAACTAAGAGTTGCCTAACTCCCAGGTACCTCTTTACTGCTAGGTGAACAGAGGCATCAAATGCCGAAATGAAACTGGGACCTTTCAGAGAAACTCTTCCAATTTTCCCACTGTGTTATTTTTATCAATGCTGAGTGAAACAATTCATTACTTTTCTGAATTGTACTGTTACCAAATGTATAAATGATCTTTGTACTTTGGTAGGATCCTGGCACTGTTCAGCAAGACACAAGGCATCAATGCTTTATTAAAAGATACAACAGCCTTGCAGGACTATACAAATATGCTAAGTCACTGGATAATAAGGCACCAAATAAGATAACACTTAGAAGGATTTAATCAAGTCCAGCACAAACAGGTTCCAGTGAAATTATGTAAATGCTATCAAAGGTAGCTCAAGCTGTCTTAACTTGCAATCAAAGCACAGTACCTGCAATGTATTTTAGCCTGGTTGAAAATGTGATGGATACGAGTTCTTGCCTCTTCAGCCTGAGCCTCCAGCGTCCTCTGCATTGTCTCCTCATATTGCGTGTAGTATCCAAGGTAGTTCACACTCTCTGACCTGATGTTCAAAGAGTTCCTTGTCTTATATATACTGTATCAAAATTATATTACAAATAATAATGCACAATTTTTTTAATCTTATTAGAAATAAGACCTTAAAGCTAATTAAATAAAAATAAATAAAATATGGTATTGTTTTGTATATGTTGTAAGTTATACTGCACATTGTAACAGTAGACTTGGGCCCTCCCCCCTCAAGTGTAACACTCGGGGACTTGCATGTTGTGACACTAAACAAGATGTAACTAATTGGTGGGCACTCCTCTCTTCATACCTAATGACCTGTGGAAACATGACTTCTCTATGCACCTGCAGATTAATGTTCAAGTAGCAGCTTGAGTCAGTGATGAGAGAGAAACTTAAGTCAATGCCCTATTGTCCTGTATGCACACTGTTGTTGACTCTGACTGCTATCCGCTGCTCTCTGTTGTAATCAATCTTTCACCAATCTTCCCACAAATTATCGTCAAATCTATATCAAATGCTATAAAGAATTGCATTTGCCTCTATGAAGAGGCAATTTATCTCCTACTGACATGCGAGTCCTGCAAATATGTTTAATTGTCTGTGTATCACCTTTCTTTGAACTGATGCCTGTAGAGGCTATGTGGAACCCTTGTTTACAAATATTGTACTGTATAGTGTGTGAATCCCTGTGTACAAGTTTTAAGTGATTTGCAGCATTTTCCAGTTTTCTAATTTTTCTGTTTAACCCCTTAACTGCGTTGCCTCCAAATGTGACACCCCCGCAGTGCGCAGGAAATAAATTATCTGGAAAAAATTCTTTTTTCTTTTTGAAGTGTCAAAAACCCTTCCCTCAGTATGGGTATGCAAAAAAAAAAGTCGAAATTGTACTTACTTTGGCTGCTATGGGGTCCGGAAGTTGGGGCGTGACGTCATCATTCCCCGTGCGCCCGTGCCGTAAGCTCTCGGGGGCAGTGGGGCGCTCGGGGCGGGGCGCGCGAGTTGCCACGAATATATTTTCGTTCATTTTTTGCGCACCTTTCCAAATACATTTTCATTGTTTTTATGTGCCAATCCAATGTATAATGAACACGTACACTATAATATCGCAGTACAACATCCGTACTGTCCGTAGACACTGTGTTACGTGCATGAAACTTGTGTACACATATGCAGCACATATTTACTATGTATCATGCTAATTTGTGTATATATACAATCTATTTACACACTATACACTGTCACACACTATATACATTCACCATCAACACATTCAGAACACCGCGTAGCAGCTGCTTCGTATGGGCCAATAGCAGCTGCCTCGTATGGGCCAATATCAGCTGCCTCGTATGGGCCAATAGCAGCTGCTTCGTATGGGCCAATAGCAGCTGCCTCGTATGGGCCAATATCAGCTGCCACGTATAGGCCAATAGCAGCTGCCCCGCATGGGCCAATAGCAGCTGCCGCGCATGGGCCAATAGCAGCTGCCGCGTATGGGCCAATAGCAGCTGCCGCGCATGGGCCAATAGCAGCTGCCGCGTATGGGCCAATAGCAGCTGCCTCGTATGGGCCAATAGCAGCTGCCTCGTATGGGCCAATAGCAGCTGCCTCGTATGGGCCAATAGCAGCTGCCTCGTATGGGCCAATAGCAGCTGCCTCGTATGGGCCAATAGCAGCTGCCTCGTATGGGCCAATAGCAGCTGCCTCGTATGGGCCAATAGCAGCTGCCTCGTATGGGCCATGAACACATTCAGAACACCTTGAGTGAGAGCAGCCACACCCAGCCAGTCTCTCTCACTCCAACATCTTACTCGCCAACATTGCTCCTCCCACCATATTGCTATAGTTCTTATTACACATGTTCTATATACCTATCTACATGTTTTATTTACCAGAACTATGCAAGTAAGCCGGTATTGTGTCCAAACAGTACAGTGGCCACCATACACTGCATGAAAAATCACACAGCAGACGACGCTACGATTACGTCACCTCCCTCACCAAAATAGCTCCTCTCAACATTCTCCTGTTGCTGTTCTTACACTATATACACACACTATATATACCCATGTACATATGTGTTGCCCATAGCGAACCACTAAGCTAGTATGGTGAGCAAAACAAGAGTGGCAGCCACACACACACAATTGAGGCTACCTCAATTCTCGCCCTCCCTCCCTCATCAAAATTCCTCCTTCCACAATACTACGCACAACGCTAATTATAACCACATTCCTGCTATTATCACAATCCTGGTCACTAATTCCTGTAAATGAATAATTGACCACACGTTTATTTTGAAAAAGAACCTAAGAAATCATTTGAAGATTCCTAGATGAACGAAATAATGCTCTGGTGCTGTGGCTAACGCTGTGAACATCGTGAACAGCATTGAATCACTGATATTTGAACATTGTACCCAGTCATTATCACACTCAGGCTCTAATATAACACTAAATAATACAATTTATATATATATTTTGACATTATTAGGCGATGCTGTGGTCACATGCTGAACAGCAGTGCTGTGCGCTCATGCTGCGAGCGCCAGCCTTGGTTGCTCACACACTACTGAGGCTCCCACACCCGGGAATGTGGACCACGATTTTTTTTAAAGATGGCGTCTGTTTACAAGAGCCCTGAGGAAGCTGATGTGAACCCCATGTAGCCGCGGGAGTTTTGAATGGAACGTGAAAAATACAAATACCCGGAGGCGCGTTGCGCAAACCAGACGTGAGCCTGCAGGCGCGTTGCGCAGTTTAAGGGTTAAATAACAGTATTTTCTCCCAGGAAAGATGCAGATACTGCCAACTGTATTGTTTGTAGTATTTTTACAATTACAATGATACCTTGCAAACACTAGCATTGTTGCCATTGCTAAATACAAACACTAGCACTAGTATTTTGTTGCTAAATACAGGTCTACCTAAATAACAGTAGGGGTACCTACCCCAGATCACCGGGGTATACACTGGATCACTGAGAGAAGTGCCCCAAATCACCAGGGAAGTAGTGCCCAGAACTCATGGGTAAGTGCCCTTGGTCACCTATCCAACAAGGGAATAAGTTACTAAGAATGTGATGGAGCTGGCACCTGGGAACTTGATTATCTTCTTATCTTGAGGTTATCTTGAGATGATTTCGGGGCTTAGCGTCCCTGCGGCCCGGTCCTCAACCAGGCCTCATTTTTATTACACACCCCCAGGAAGCAGCCCGTAGCAGCTGTCTAACTCCCAGGTACCTATTTACTGCTAGGTGAACAGGGGCATCAGGGCGAGATAAACTTTTTGCCCATTTGTCTCCGCCTCCACCAGGGATCGAACCCGTATCCTCAAGACTACGAATTCGAAGTGCTGTCCACTCAGCTGTCAGGCACCCTTAAATAAGGGTGCTGACATATCCATCAGAGATGGCAACAACGAAGACCAAAACATTCCTCCTGGAACTGAGAGGAATGAGTTACGAAGAAAGGCTGAAGGAGCTGAACCTCACAACCCTGGAAAACAGAAGAGTAAGGGGAGACATGATAACCACCTACAAAATTCTCAGGGGAATTGAAAGGGTGGACAAAGACAAACTCTTTAGCGCAGGTGGAACACGAACAAGGGGATACAGGTGGAAACTTAGTATCCAGATGAGCCAGAGACACGTTAGAAATTTTTTTTTCAGTGTCAGGGTAGTTAACAAATGGAATGCATTAAGTAGTGTTGTGGTGGAGGCTGACTCCATACACAGTTTCAAATGTAGATATGATAGAGCCCAATAGGCTCAGGAATCTGTACACCAGTTGATTGACAGGTGAGAGGCGGGACCAAAGAGCCAGAGCTCAACCCCCGCAAACAACTAGGTGAGTACACATGAGAAGATGGAGAAACGACGCCGTTTCTGTCCGTCCTGGATTATTATCAAGTTGTGTGCAGCAAGATGGGCAGGATGTTGGTCAGCGTGATACTTGGAGAACCTTGTGATGCCATTGGAAAAGCTTCAAATGATCAGTATTGTACTTTTATAGTGTGGCACCCTACCTTGACCATCATGAGCCTGTACAATTGGATCTTCAATGATCTTGCCATAGGAAGCATCTGATAAATTTATTAGTAATGCCTTTTAATCTCTGAAACAAATTCAAAATCAATTACCTGATGCCAATGTATGATTTGACAGGTGGTGGGAGATCATCTGTGGCTGAAGAAACTTTGGGTAGTTCATCTTCAGCACCAGCAGGAGGGGTAACAGAGCCACTCTGATCACTACCTTCTGTTCAAGTGTTAAATTATCAAACATTATTGTCACTGCTTTGTTAGTTATCCAGTCTTGGTTCCACATTTTGTTTAATGTAAGTACTGTACTGTAGTGTCAATAGGCTGTAAGCAACAAGCTTCAGTAATATATATTGAAATGTATTTATCATTAAACATAATATTATTTATAAGAACATTATATAATAGGAAGTAATATTATAGTAGATTCCTGCTCTAATACAACCCAGTCCAGTGTAAGATTGATTCAATTCAATAATAATGATCGGTTATGGACAAGCTAAATTACAGAAACAAAAAAATCCAGAAATGGTTAAACATTTGAAAATATGAAAAGCCATGATGTTTGAAAATGCAACATGAGCTATTGTTCAGTACTATAAAAGCAGTTTAAGAAAAAAAAAAAAAAAAAAAAAAAAAAATATATTTTACATTTACATGATATCTCACCCGGATGAGTGGAAGATGGAGTCCAACGCTTTCCTAGGGATGGTGCTGTAGATACGGTTCGGAACTTGCCCATTTTTTTCTCCAGAATACGATTTGGGTACATCTCTCTGGATGTGGTAAAACAATATAAAATAATTATAAACTAAATATTGGTCATCTGCATGAAGGCAACAGGAGGAGGCATCTTCAGGCTAGAGTTAAATTGGATCTTTTCAAGTAGCGGTATAAAATAGAGCAATTCCTGCTAGCCAAGAGAAACTAAGGACCAGCAAAATTGAGCTCCACGAGACCCAATTCTAGCTCAAAAACCTCCTCTGTTGCATACATAAAATGATTTAAGGTCCTGCCTAGCCTGTAGAGGATTGCAGGACAAGTGAAATATTTAAAGTGTTGTGGTAGAAACCAGGAAACATCTCGCTCAAACTGTGAGGTGGTAAGGGTTGGTAAAGCAACCCCTTTGTATCCCTTCACGCAGAGAGATGTCCTCCAACCTGGACACTAACCCACCAAGGGTAAAAATTAAACCACACTGGTTCCTCATATACTGCTTCAAACATCTTGAGGGAATGATCTCGTATATCTTCCCAAGACACATGAGGGAATGGTTTCACATGAGGTTTTCCAAAGATATTTCACCTGCCCTTATGTGTCAACACCTTCTTAGAGAAAGATAAATATAAGCTTAATAACTATATATAATTCTTTAGATAGCACACAAGTGAGGTTTAAATCTCACTGTATTTAAACCTAAGCAGTGGAATTAACGTCATTTGAGAATAAAGAATAAGCTTTGTATGTTGTCAAAGAGGAATTTGACTTCAGTGAGAATATGGGATCTCATTACTGGAAAATATGTATCTACCACTTGCTTGTTAATTCATGTAAATTAGTGAAATTCAAGTGCTATTGAATATTGTAATTAGCCTGGCTCAAATATCTAGATAATTTCCCAATTGGTTTGGAATAGTAAGTCACTTTCAGTGACGAGTACAGGATTTTAGTTAGTAATCATCTTTGAAGATTAATTTGGCATCTAAACTAAGGTCAGCCTTACAGAGGTCAGTGGAGAATTTAGTCAGTGTGAGTTGGGACATCCTGGGGGCAAGATCTCACCTCCAGAGGCAAGGTTGAACAACTGGCCTGGCTGTGGTATTTAAGGTTAAAAGATCTATTTGTTTTAAGTGCACTTGTAGAATCCACATTATTTTGTTTTACCTCTCAGTGCCTCTATTTTAGGAAGAATTTCAGTTAGATTATAATTCAGTTTAGGAAGTGTTTAGATAGGAAGTGTTCAGATAGGGAGTCTTCTTTTATTTTCATTGATAAACTTTAATAAATCTTGTTTAGAATTTATGGGGTTTAGTGGAATTTCCCCCAACGCATATTTTATATTCTATTGTTGGGGCTCAAGACCCCATGCTTTGGGGCTAGGCACCCTCTGCAAGCCTGCAAGCATTTATTTAATACCTCAGATAATCCCATTGTGCTTTGATTTAAACCACACTTAACATAAATCTCATCCCTCCTATTCAAGTAATTGGGGATCCACTTTCGGGAATTATGCCTAATTGACCGTTTGCTGCTTCACCGTCAATTTGGGGAATTATTCAGTGGGGTTTATGAAGTATGTGGTGGCGGCATTCTCCGATTTTGCAGTGTAGCATAGAAAGAACAGTGTCCTCGTGTCGTGAGTTCTAAACAATCAAACGTTTTAGATTCGAGGAGTTGGACTGATTCCACTGAAGGTTATATTAAGAACATTTCTAATAATAACAACCAGCATTTAACCAGATTAGTAAGGCTAAAGGCTGGGCCCAGGTTACATAGTCACCACTTTATTCCATAGAAACAAGACTGATGAGAAAGAAGATTACTTCAGTACTCAGACAAGTACACTTCAATGACAAATAATAAAAAAATATTGTGCAAATATGGACAAAAATAAAAAATAAGAATGGGAAAATAATACTCTGTGAATGGGCAATGTGAAGATAAGAGAAAATATCAGAAGTACCAAAGATTATAAAAAACATTGTAGAGTACATTTAGCATTCACCATATAAATTCTTCACTATTGAATGATTTTTTACAGACTTTATAAAAAGATACACTGATGCATATTTATACAGGACTAAAATTAGGCAGTACCTTACCGTGTGCTTGTTAAGATGACGTAGAAATTGAGATGTAGGATATTTGGGTGCATATTTCCCACATGAAGCTCACCGCTAGTATTGTGGGAAACCAGTAAGGTAACATCATACTCATCCGATACTCTCTGATCATTGGCATCTTTGTAATGCACCCGACAAGTTTTGGTGTGAACCAGAATAAATTCCGTATACTGCTGTAAAGTACAAAAAATCAAAATGTTGAATGCACAGAAATGCCCTTTCCTTGTAATTACTTAAGTGAATACCCAAGAGTAGTTACAGGATGAGAGCTCTGCTCATGTTGTCCTGTCTTCCCACTTGAGTAGCTCCCCTGTGCTACAGGGAGGTACTGAGGGCATCACAAACATCAGGCTCTTAATTTGTGAAAGCACGTTACAGGGTAGATAAGTCTGCTTATTCTTAATGCATCATCCTGTGTTTGTTGGAGATCGTTCAGACAGGCAGGATGACATGCAGTACTACAACAAGGGAGCTTTTAAAAATGTTCCCATAGGATCATATAATATGTAAGGCAGTACTGTAGAATACTTAGGCCACCTAAGAATGGCCAACAGTAAGCAATGTATAAAGACAATAACAAAGACAGATAGCAAATATTATTAATGAAAATAAATATTTTGCATTGTATTGTTCAGTTATTCTGACAGCTACTATCTTTGAAATTTGTTCATCAGTAGATTTATTTACTAATTTTTCTTTTAACCCTTAAAGTGCAGTAATCAAGCATTAATCCATCCGGTAATGCAGTTATCATTTTATGTCATTATTTGTTAGTTTTTATTTTGTTTTGATTTTTAAATATGGTTATAATATACCTATATAGATGTAATGGAATGTATCAAAACCCATGAATAAATTTTGATCTAGTTTGCTGATAGCTTTGATTGCTAATTAAAATATAACTTAAGATAAAATATAAGATATAATATATTTTATAAAAAATATTAGATAACTAAGTTATTGTGTGCCAGTAGTCTGCGATTACAGTACAGTATTATAAAATCACAATTTGATTTTTCGCTTGTATCCGAGTCTCTTTCTAGACAATGTTCCCAGACAAAATAGCAACAAAAGAGTGGGTTGCAAGACATTTCGTTGCATGAACAACTTTATATGCAATATAATACATATTACATTGTAGGCTTATATACAGTATTTAATTATGGTTTTTTCAATTACTTGTACTTAAGTTAGTTTACACATTGTGTAAAAGTGAAACAACAAGCAAATAAACCATCTAATATGAACATCACAGCCCTTACCCCCTACTTGACTACTCAGTAAACTGTGGCATTATGAGTCCCTGGACCCAATGACTCGACCACCACATCATCTTCCCCGTGTGCATGGAACCACAATACATTTTGATATTTGTGTTGATGTTTTATTTAATTCTCATTACTTCTGCATGCTAATGTATTGTTTTATAAGTTTTTTGTTTGCACACAGAAATCTTTGGTGATTGTAACACACTAAGGGTTAAATATTCTAATATCTTGGTTAGGAAATATTCACACACAGTTGTTGAATTGTGTATTGCTAATTAGAGCTTTTCATCAAATCTTTCAAACAATATAAAGTTCAAACACCTTTACAGAAAAATACTGTATCTAGGTACAAAAATCTAGATAAGCATTATTACCATCAGAGCATTAGGATCGTGGATGACAGGAGTCATACGTAACACTCTCATCCGATACTGCTTCTCTCGTGCCAGAAGATAATTGTACAGTTGTTCTCCTGGAGTTCCTGTGTCTGCTATGGTCACTTTACCTGTAAGAAGTAATACAGTATGATTAAATCATCCACCTGTGGCAATAACTAGGTAAGGACACTAATACTCGAGACTTAATTAAGAATTAACTTGTATGCACTTCAAGAATCAGCTTCAGCAGTAAATATTTTATTATGCTCAGAATTTTCATGTCAGGAAATGTAATTAATTTGGATACAAATACTATACCTGAGTGAATAAGGTTTCTGGCAAAGTTGGGTCCTTTGTTATAGTACTTGATAAAGTCGGAGAGACACGATGAAAGGTGATAGCCAGGAGTAAAGAGAAGCTGTCGATCAGCAACATATGCGCACAGCGCTCGGAGATGGAAGTCAAATGTGAAGGAATGCATGTGAAGCAGGACCTTTATGTCATCTACTTTATCCAGGAAAGAATTGATGGCAAACTGTAAAATTAATAACAACAATTATTTATTAATAATAGTACAATAAACAATGTATAATGATAATAATAATACTCATTCACAGTATATTATAAAGTTTTCCATCCCTTTCTTGCTTTAATGTCATTTAACCCTGCCTCCATGTAAAGTTTGTCTTGTTGTCATCTTTTCAACTATACTATTAACTGTTGAAACTTTTCTTCTCTAACTCTGTATGTTTAATGAAGCATAAGTACTTTCATTCTTTTAAATCTCTACAAATCAAATACTTTTGTTACTTCTTTTTCTATTCTAAATTTATTTAAACTAGACTAATATTTCCTTTAATAATATATAGCTCAATTTTCATATACAGTATCCATGCAACTGAAGTTCACAGTTTGAATTTACAGTACAATTATAACCAATATTTTAGACATCTTTACCTCTGTAATTTATTCCTTTCATATGACAAACTTGGTGTCTAACTCATCTGTCTAGCTGTGTACCCTTAAAAATATGGATATCATAAAAGGTGTCACTGCCTGTGCAGGGATTAAAAAAAAATGATACATTTGCAAAGTACAAAAAAATACAAATTCCTAGGTTGTTTTTTTATTTTGTTCACATTGAGATGAAGACAGGTTGGGGGAGCCATTGGTTAAAGGTTCAAGTGATGCAATTTTGTTGACATGTCATGTAGGAGGGAGGGAGAGAGGGAGGGAGGGAGAGAGGGAGGGAGGGAGGGAGGGAGGGAGGGAGGGAGGGAGAGAGAGAGAGGGAGGGAGGGAGGGAGGGAGGGAGGGAGGGAGGGAGAGAGGGAGGGAGGGAGGGAGAGAGAGAGAGAGGGAGGGAGGGAGGGAGGGAGGGAGGGAGAGAGAGAGGGCTGTGATAGTTTTAATTTGTATGGTTTGTATGTTTACCGTTTCACTTTAATTTACACAATGTATGGAATAACTAGATATATTTAAATAAAAGAAAGAAAAGTGATCCATTACTATATAAAGCCCAAGAATATAATATGTATACCTATATTGCATGAATATTTGCTCCTGGCACAGTTCAAAGAATGTGTCATACAACCCACCCCCTTTACTGCTATTCTCTCTGGTAAAGTTGCTCAAAAATAGATTCAAGCATCAGCAGGAAACAGCAAATTGTGATTTGAGGATATCTGCAAGCCAATAGTACACACAACCTCATTGAACAACAACCCATTAAAAATGACAAATTTTTTCATGGGCATAGGTTAACTATTCCATCTATATTGCTGTATTATAACTGTTTATATAATTTGAATACAAATTGGAGTGATAAAAAAAATTAATATATAATTATAAGGAGAATACTTAAGGAATTAACACATGACTGACTGAATAAATGAATACATCGGAATAACTGAATTTAAAGAACTAAAGTTTTGATTACTCAATTTCAAGTTACCATTCAGAGTATTTAAACATTTCTTTTTAAATGTAAACAGAATTCTTCACAAACATCACACTAGTATGATCTTTTTGTTCCTCAATCATTTACATTATGTTTACCAATGAATGAGCAGTCAAATATACAAGAAATTAAGATTTGGGCAAAGGGATTGATACTGGCATGAATGGTGCTCGTGTAAGACAGCCTATGAATTTGTAACATCGTAAAATACAGTACTGTAATCACTCAAACTGCATAAGTTTAGAAAGGGTGAATTCAGAGGTATGCTGCAAAATTATTTTTTGCTACCACATTCTTAACATGAGAGTTGTCGAGGAGTGCAAGAGGGTCGAGACACGGTTGTGCACGTTGCCATGAGCGCCACACTTGTGTCATGTCTTGCCACTTTTTCCTCTTGTGCTCCACAATCATATACCTCTGCCATCTTCTCTCATAGATCAGAGTGTCTTCAAGGCTTTTAAAGTGTGAGGAGGGGTTGGAGGAAAAAGATGGGAAATGGGAGTGGAGGTGCATGCTAAATGCCAGATGGGAGGAGCAAAAAGGGGATAAGAGACAGTAAGAGAGAGAGAGAGAGCAAAAGAGAGAAAGTGTGAGATAGAGAAAAAAGAAAAAAAAAGACGTGATCAAGACATAAAATTCAGATCGACAGTAATAAAAGAAGAAATGTTCACAATGAATATCAACAGAAAAAGAGCATGGATTGAAGATTAAGAAATAGATGAGACAGAGATATAAAAAAGTATTTTCTGGTGGGGCCAGTTAATAGCTTCCAGACCTATAACTAGTGTCCCCAAGCCTTAGGGAATTGCACCAGGCCTCCGAGACCTACCTGAGCTTACCTGGAGCCAGGACCAGAATTTGGCTCTCTCTACAATGCAGGGCAAACCTGTAAATAGGTTGCTAATTTCTTTCAAGTATGTACTGTAGTTGCTAGTTTTAATGTATGATTTTTCTTTCCAGTGGTTAAGGTGTTGGATTTCTGATCCTCAAGCTCTGCTAGTTTCATAGACCAAGAAAGATTATGGTCCTGGCTCCTAATAGACTTGAGCTGGCAGCCCTAAGGCAGCCAGCTCCAGTAGCCAGGGAAGCTACTGAGTGGCCCACCAGAAAAGGGTGTTTCATTACATTCATGCTTGATTCATCAAGCAATCTTTCAGGGACACAACTTGAGAAAAACAATTATAAATATTTACAAAAATTTCAGGTAAGAATACTAGCTGTATAATAAAACACATACAAACAATACCATACAATATATACATATTCAAATGTTATAAATATACTACCGGTATATACAGCACATATTCAAACAATTCTATATACTTTATAGGGGAGAGCTGGTGTGGTTCTCCACATAGTTAAGTTTACCAGCGTAGGGTTTCTCAGAGATATTGTCTGTGGTCAAGTTAACCAGCACAGGATATCTAGAAGATTATCCTCCAAGGTCAAATTTGCTAGTCAAGGGGTATCTCAGAGTATCCGCCATGCACGTGCCAACCCAATAGCTGCTTCATCATAGATTACCAACTATTGCCACAATTTTTTAGCATAATCAGACTCCAAAGAACAGCATATCATTTTTTACCCTTATTAAAGTTTATATTTTTGGTATATATAGTACTATTGCATAGGGTAGAATACTATTACTAATATCTGGGAGTTATATATACTGTAATGGTTTACTTTGCACTTATTAACTCAATTTATGTAAATATATAAAATGGGCCATGGTGGGAGGTCAGGTGTAGAGAGTGTCCAGATAATACAAAATGTCCCACTGACACAGTTATCAACACTGGAATGTGGACCAATCTGATTTACGTTACACTGTCATCTCCAGACCCAAAATATTTCTGGGTGGTGAAATATACAAGCTCTCCTCTACATGGACAAACATTTTGTTTATGCAATACAATATATACACACACAATTACATATCTTTTTTTATGTACAGGTACTTTTAAAGTTTCACTCTGCATGAACAATGTTATAATATTACATCAAATACTATATAAACAAACATAATATTACCATTAAATATGAATGGTGTCTTTCAAGCAATTAGAGACTTTCCCCGAGATTTAAGTATTTTAAGGTAAAAATAATTTTGAACTACGTCAGTAGTGTAATCTGAGAATACCACACCTTTTGTATTTCTTAACTCATATTGACTGATAAAATACAAAAGTTTTATTAATAATTTGAACACATATTTACACTTTGTTTAATTCTACAACAACATTTATATGCTTAGTGTATTAATTCTTATTAGTAAATGCAATACATATTCTTTATTAGTGGACACTTCATGCAAGTTAAATTTATTTAAAATATCAAGAGTTTCCCCTTTTGTACAAAAAGTAAAGAAATAATACTGATAAAGAGAATACGGGAGGTGCTATAACACCCATATTAATATGAGGTTAATATCCATATCAATAAGAATTTCATGATGAATACTCTGTAGCATGTTATACATAATGTTATACACATGTACAGCACTACACACACACAGTGTATAAATGTAGTGTTATACACATGTAAAGTGTTACACACATGTTCAGCACTACACATGTACTGTATTACAGTGTTTCGTAATGTTACACATGTAGTGTTATACACGTACAGTGTTACACACATACTATGTATACATTTAGTGTTTCATACATGTACAGTGTTAATACATGTACAGTATTAATACATGTACAGTATTAATACATGTACAGTGTTAATACATGTACAGTGCTACACATGTTGCGTATACACACAGCATTACACACACACGCACAATGTGTAACCTGTACATTAGTTTACCTGACCCTCCCAGAAACCACAAGCAACTTTCGCAAACAGTTGAAAGAAGGAATAGCTAGCAATGCAATTTCAGTTAGAATTCTTCCGTATAAGCTAGGCAGATGGTATAGCAGCTGTAGTCAAGAACATCAACATGAGTTCCAGGTAACATTTACAATCTAGTATACATGGAATTCAGTTTTTTAATTATGTTACAGTACCACTGGGAAAGATATAATACTGGCAACTTAACTGATTAAATCCCCTAATAGAATTTTAATTAAAAAATATATTGTAAAAATGCCATAATATATGTAACTAAAGTAACTTGCACTTCCAGCACCATTGTCATAAGCATATGACTGATACTAACAGGAAACATTACAAACTGACTTAAAAATCAGACTTTGAGAGTATATCTGATGCTCTTTTTTGTGAAGGACACTTAGTTGCTCTACAAAGCTAAATCCCACTGGTTTTATGGCCACTATCATGCTCAGTCATAGCTGGCTCCACATTTAGGAAAATGCAACATGGATATTTTCAAACTGTCCCCGTCAGATTAATTTGGTGTTTGGGAGATGACAGAGGGGTTTGAGTCAAGGATTTAAGTTCTTCCTTGCCTTCAGGGGAATTTATTTGCAATGCCCGAGTTGCAATTAAAACAATACATTCCCTTGCCTATGAGCAGAGGGTGTAATATTTAATTCTAGGGGACAAAATGGAAGTTCCTCCATCATAGCTTTTATTTCCAGCAATGGCCTAGGGAGTGATTTTGCTCTTTGGATGGAGGAGACCTCAACTTCCAAAATAGGGTCCCCCTCTATGTACCCATTTTGGGTAATTTGGGAAAAATAAACGCGTGAATTTTAGAGGCAAACTATCTTTATCTAGGCCTGATTTATCAGTACTTGTGTTCACCATTTGCTCTGCCCTTTGAGTGCATTGTGCCAATCTCTATACCTATCAGCATTTTGGTAGGATCATTGCTCCTTAATCTTAGCACTTTGATGCTCTGTGCTACTGCTTGTATATCTCAAGACGAGTCAGCCATAGAAGCTTGTCAGACTAAAGTAATTTCTCTCAATGACATTGTGTGCTGATATCAGAGCTCACAGGTTCTACAACTCAAACCAATAAATTCATAGCCTAAAACGTTTTTAGGATTCCCGTACTGGGGAAAAAAAAAGTCTGGGGAAGGTTTTCTTCCAATTAATCAACATTTCTTCTGGAAAGATCTGGGTCCTTGAATGTTCAGTTTCTGGACCCAAAGTCACTTTAGCCCAGACAGCAGCTTTTCAGAACCTCTCTGCAGCACAGGATTTTATAGTGTAGAGTTTGTTTGGACTTCCTCTATAAGAATAGCCTTAGGAAGCAGCAAGTCATAATTCAGAAATCAGGCTTAAACACATGGTACAAGAAAAATTTTCAGAAAAGAATACTTATTTGCTCCTTATCCCCTCTCTTCTGCCCTATCTGCCCAGTACTTTTTTCTTATTTTCTAGGGTCAGTTTAAAATGTAAGGAGTTGTAAGTTATGGAATTCTGATGCAGTGTAGGTGCTGTCATCTGGTGGCAGCCAGGCAAGGTGGTCAGATGGGTCAATATGTAGTTAGTAGGAGTGCTGCTTTAACAGTCTCTTGATGCCAAGCAACATTTAGCAAGGATTTGAGAGTTTATGTATGAACTTCTAAAGGCCATTCTGAGCTAAACTAATTATACTCCAGTGTCTCCCTAGCACCAGAATAATTTGCCATGGACACTCTAAAAAGATCCCCATTGCAATTTTGCAGAAAGTTAAACCTGCACTGCATAGGAAAGATCTTGTTCATGGCAACTGTGGATCTAGCATAAGGGAGCAACCCATTGGCATAGCTTAAAAATATATTGACATATAAAACCAATTCGGAACATTGTCTCATGATTGTTTACAATATTATGATATGCGTGAAGAATATAAGCAGCATGAAGCAGAGCCCAAGTGCAGGAAAAGTGTCGCAGGATTAATAAAGAATCGTGTGTGACATGGCTTACTTTATCATCAATCTGGTCAGGAGGACAGCCCTCAGGATAGATAGGTGCTGCAGGAGAGTGCGTTGGTAGCGGCCCTCCTACCACAACTTTTGATACTGGTTCAATCTTGGTACAGAAAGAAATCTATAGCCATTACCTTGAAGCACAGCTTACCTTATTTACCAAAATATAAAAGTAACTAAATAAATTACCTTATCAATCTACTTCTCATTAACCAAATTATTACAGATTCTTTAATGCACTGTGACAAGAGAGATAGCAGACATCTGAAAAGGCTCTACTAGAAAGCAGTTAGTAAGAACTACATCATCACACTTAATGTGACTTGCTACCTGGCTTCATGTCTACAACTACACCTGGAGAAATAATTCTCAATGCTCTTATTTTTTAAGACATGTTAGGAATTCTTCATCCAGAAAACAGTAGTAACAGATCTACAGGAGAGAACACAACTGGTGGTCATCAAAGGCAAGAGGAATAACCCTTGCTAGATGCTTGTTATTATTAAAGAATTACCCTCAAGGAAATGGCTTGTTGACAAGCACCCTAAATCATGTCAAAGTCAGATCTCTGTTAGACTAGTTGTTTGTTCAGTTTGGGTCAAGCTTGCCCCTGGATCTGCAGCTAATGTACACCTGAGTACATAATGTGCAACATCACAAATTGAAAATACTTTATTATATTTGTACATTCTTTGTATCTTTGGTTACATATATGTTTGTGATGTATACCTTATTATCTATGAAATATTAATATATATCATTTAACTCATAGAATTATCAAACTCCTCTAAGTTCATGTTAACATAATAAATGTAAATACCTGTTCATTTATGAGTAAAGATATATGAATATTAATAAGCATTCATAAAGAATAAAGTATGCAAAGATGAGATGGTTATGACTACATTATGTTCAACGTTAGAAAATTATACCTTAGCTGACAAAGTTTATAGTGAATAATAATAATAATAATAATAATCTGTTTCATGATATTAGCTATATAAATAATTTGTGAAAGGCATCAACAATAAAAATCAATACAGAATAAATATGAGCAGGAACATATTAGGAACTACAAATGCAGTTAGGAAAATTTTAACCAATATACAAGTTATGAAAATATACCATGAATAATAATAATCAAGCATTAAATGTAATGAAATAATCTTTCCTGGAGGACACTCCAGAGCTGCCAGAGGTATAGCACTAGGGCTGTCAAACCATAGGGAATGTGTTGCTTGTTTTGATGCCCTTATGCTTTCTAGTGTTATCTTATTGTCTTAGATTGACCTAATTTGCAAGCTGCCCTCGTCTCGTAATGTGTCAGACTCTTGTCCTGGCTCCCAGTAGGCTTGGATGTGTCTCAGTGGTCTGATGCAAGTCTCAAGAAAATTGTAGGCTCAATGCTACTGTTCTGGGAGCTTCTATATTTACATGAAAATTAACATAGACTTCAGTGCTAAACAACAAAATCTCACTGAATATGAAAAAACCAGCATTGAATGTAATGAAACGTGATTTTCTGGGTGAGCCCCGGAGGGTTCCCTGCGCCTCTCTGAGGGGACCAGGTTTTGGCTTGTGGTTCCTGGTAGACAAAGGACTCCTGTGACTGATGCCCCCAAACTAATAAAGCACTATATCAGTTTGTATAGCTTCAGGGAGCCGACGGGGCTCCCCACAGAAAGATGTTTAAAGTAAATTATAGTAACATATGCTCTTAAGGCAAAAATATAAAAAATATTAATTAATAAATGATTGCCCTTTTTTCCTTATTAATAAATTCTTTGAATAACTGCACATTTATTAGTTACAAAAGATGATGACCCTGTAGAAGCAGATAAACCATTTCCTGGGAAAAACACATTTGCTCATTAAGTAAACACCCTTAGTTAAAGGACATCCCCTTAACTTCTATTCTTGAAGCAGGTAGCTTCACATCCATACTCGGAGGAGGCAAACTGCTCACATACCATTCCTCAAGTACTGTTCCTCACTGCTCTCATTCTTAAAGGGGTCATTTCAATCAAAATCATACTCTATTCCTTTATTATACTTGGTAACTTTCTCTACTGATCAAGAGGCAGTCACAAGTAGATCCTTCTCCATCTCTTGTTCCAGTCCAATAACCCTGTTCTTGAAGGGAGCCGTTTCATATTAACCCTCACAAATCTATTACAATTTCTTTCAATTAACAATGGCCTCTGAAGAACATGAAAATTGCTACTTAACACTATAAACTGTTATAAATACAATTGCTAACAGATTATTTGTTTTAATAATCCTTGCCACTTACCTGTGAGGACAGCTTTTTTCCCTCTAATCTGCACGACTCCAACACGTATATCTGCAGAAACAATAAAATTAATGGTGATAAATAAACAGATGAAATAAGTAACAGCAATAATTTAGAGTCAGCTATGCTTCAATTTTGGAACAAACAAAAACTGTCAATGCAGAATTAACAATTTTAGTACAATATTTTTGTGGCAATCTTTTAATTAAAATGTATGTACCAATAAATATATAATACAAAATATTGTAAATTAATTCTATTGTTTGAATTAGTAACATAAAAAAAATATATTATGCATACCTTAGCAGAGAAGTAAGGCTCCAAGAAAATAATTTCCAAAAGAATTGTGCCACCCAAGACATTCTTCAATAAATAAGTTGGCTCCTTAGTGACTTGCTCACTAAAGCGCACTTCCTTGATGCGGAAACTGCGACTTTCTGGCTCTCGACCAATACCACGTCTAGATAATAGAAATAATTTGTTTTATACATATACAAGAGTTTTTACATTCTTTTAAAGTCACTAGCATACATAACATTTTGGGCAGATCCTTAATCCTAATTTTCCCTGGAATACACCCCACCAAATCATTTAACAACCAGGTACCCATTCACTACTGGGTGAGCAGAGGCGTACAGTTAAAGATTGGCACCAAGTCAAATCTCTCTCCCCCGGCCGGGATACGAGCCTAGGTCAAATCATTCACGAAGCGCCGGGCAACACAATGTCTTCACACCAAAATAATTTGGTCATCATTGAGCATCATATTTTTGGTTACCCAATGAAACAACTTTGTTGATATCCGATTGTAATTTCTATCCTACACCATGGTAATTTTCAAACTGCTGTATACAAAATTTGTCAGAAAGAGAGGACATAAAACTGTGGGTATTACTTTTCTTATTTTCTATAAATACAACAGAGTAACAACATGAGGCTTGTGCATGTATTAGAAACTAACAAAATAACATGATATTCCCATATATTTTATGGACTAAAACGTCTTGGTTGCATTTATTAAATGCTTCTGTAAAAACTGTGAATACTGCACAATATGTTCATTTGTTTCTCTTACCTTCCCCCAACTTCAATACAAATGACATGTTGCTTGCATCACAATGGTGTTAAACATTATAATATACAGGAAAATATGTTCTTTCATTTAAGATGTGAAAATATATCACTTATTTTATTTAAAACAATGTAATTAAATAATTAAAAATTTTGATATATATTCAACTTAGGTCAAAAACATTTCATTACATTATATATCATGACAGAATTAATGAAGCTCCAACTTCTCACCCGCGTTGCTGAGGAGCATGTGTCACATTTAATGTGAGAAACCCTAAGCTTTGTAAGTATTGGATATATTCCTTAAGGTAGCTGGAACAGAGTGCATCATGCCACTTCTCATCTCCACCCGTCACGTGGCGTCGACGTTGACTAGGGCTTGGTAAGTTCGACTTGAGCGATAATGAACGACGCAGATCAGTGGGACCACTTCCACCCATGCCTTTGGCAGAACTACCGGAGTCGTGTCGAGAGCGCTGAAAACGAAAGTGTTATCACATAGCTGTATAAAATTACTTTTATACCAACATTTCCTGAATTAATAATTGAAAAACTGATATAAATTAGAAAATAAAATATAAAAAATGACCTCTGATATCTAGTTGTATTGTCATGCTTTGTCATATTGCTAGGTTCTTAGCATAACACAGCCACAAACTTTTAATATCACAGCACAAACTTTTAATATATCAGTCAAACTAAAATGTCTAACATAACTACACACTGATAAATGAGAACAATTCATGGCATAAAGGTAAACAAATGTGTTGTGCTCTTGTTAATAGCAATCACAACTTTTATTGAAATTACAACAGGTTACTATTGAAGTCAATCTCATACTTGCAGACTGGTGCCAGGTTCTTGTTTCTGAAATTACCACAAATACAAATAATTTGGTTAATAATACGTGGGCCAGATTTTCTTCACAGCATTACCTCAAGCCTTAATAGAAGGGTTGGTTTCCTATTCATGGCAATGTCCCCACTCCCACCCCCCAACACACACACACACACACACACACATGCATGCATGCATATGAAGAAAGCATAGTCCTCGATAGACTTATACTGGTTGCTTATATCAGTTAAGTCACCATACATAGTTTAAAATGTAAAGAAGATAGTGCCCAATAAGCTAAAGAACCTATATACCAGTTAAGTAATGGTTGAAAGGTGAGACCAACGAGTCACAGCTCAACCTCTTGCAAGTACAAGGCGAGTACAACTAGGTTAGTACATACAACTAATACTTCACCTGGAGGGGTCAATGTCACCCCATTGGCCATAATAGCCAAGACCTAGCAGACCCATGAAGCCATCAATTTGAGGCCGAGTTTTAATATACAAACAATGGTGTAAACACTGAGCATTCACCATGAGTTACAAGTACACAAAGACAAACAGCTACTATCTACCAGCTTCAAGCACTGCACAAAGTGCACAAATAGTGTGGACATATTATCACAGACACAGTAATCCCAGAGAAAATGATAAAATTCAGAGTAAAATAACTCACAGGTTCAGGAGTCTTTAAGCCAAAAGTAGTCGTCTTATCTGCAGGCGAGTGAGGATCAGCCAGGCTGTGGTCTCTGGCAGCTGCCACCTGCCACCGCCACCTGTAATACCATATTTCACGTAATTTACTTAAAGATTATGAATCAATCCGAGCTGCAATAATAATTCTCACAGGCTTTTCCAAACAATCAATCTAACTATATTTACAACACATTTCTCTCCCTAAGATGTAGCCTCACATTATATTATATTAAGACATTTCAGATGTTTCAAGTTTTAATGACAACCATCAAACATGTTTCTCACAGTTTCACATGGTTATTTCTTTATTACATCAGTGCAGCCATCCTGCTTGTACCAAACAAAGAATGTGAGTAAGACTGAAGAGCATCTGAGCAAAAATATACCAATAAGAAAGTGGAAGAAACAAGAAAAGACAGGTATAACAGGGAAAAATAAAAAATTAAAATGAAAAACTATTAGACACAGGAGTGTGAGTGTAGGTAGATAATAGCACCATCAATATAACACATGTACTACTGTACCTACACTCAATATGAGATTTTAAGGCATGTTGATTTCAATGGTTATTACCTTGAAGACTTATTTATGTCTTATTTTAGTGCATTTCAAGGCCAACTAATATATTCCTACTCAAGAACCAAACAAAAATTATTGATTGGCTATTTCATCAATAATTTTTCTGATGTAACAAAATCACTGACAATGAATAAATAAGCATCTAACTTATCAATTAAAATAAATACAAAACTTTGCTAATTCCAAAGTGGAAAGTCAAACCAGAGAAGACTATCCCTGTGGATAGTCTCTTTTTATCCCTGTGGATAAAAATGCCTTCTTTCTAGCATATTAAACATTTATGTCTGTCTTTGATCTTTTGGCTAGAAGAGAGCCTTTATAAGCTTCTCAGCTGTCATCCAGGGCAATAAATCACACAATTTCCATCACTGGGACAAACACTGCATTTCAAGAGAGCCAAAACATAAAACATTCATATCTGATTACTAGGCATCACCTCATAGTCATAAAAGGGTTGTTGTAGTTATAAATTATTAAATGCACAAGTTAAATAGGACACTCAGGTACAGGGTATTTATGTACTGTAATATAAAACCAACTAATTATAAAATTGCTAGATCACCATTCTAGATTAGAGGCATCCCAGTTTATCAACAAGCTGCTTTTGTTCTTAATGAAAATTTAGTGGCACCTAAATACTTTCTCTTTATGGCTTACCTTGGCAGAAAGAGAAGAGGTGTGTAGCAGAAATGTACAATGCGGGCATTCTGTTTGTACAAAGCCAAGATCTTGTCATTGAAGACTGGGCTCGAGTGGCCATGTGTCTGAACCAGTGTCTTTAACAGTACTTTCCGTTGAGTTTCTGAAGTATGAAAAATAATGTCTTCTACGTGTACAAATTTGGAAATAATGTAAAAAAAAAAACTTAAATGGCAATTTTTTTAATCAGCAGATATATTATGCATGAAAGCTTTCACTAGCCTACATCTAAAAAATTCACAACTTGGACCAGTCTCATGATTTAACATGTAAATGTTAAAGTGGTTTTGCTTAACCAGGAGTGTTTGAACCCAAGTTACCCACCTAACCTATTAAAACTATTGTTTATTAATATTCAAGAACGTCAAAATTAGTGATTTTAATTTAACTAAATTACTATAATTTCAATTCTATGGTCGGCAGCATTAAAATTGCAGTGCATTAGGTAAGGTGAGAGGTTGCACAACTACAGTTGCAACCTACACAAGACAGATGATGCACAACACAAAGTAAGTTTTAATTTAGGTAGAGAATAACAAAATGATAAATGCTGTACAGTACCTCTCTGTAAAATGTGGCGCCTAATTTCTGTCATCTGGGTCCCATGACGAAGCTCCAGATCCTTCAAACTTCCATACTGAGAATTTCTAAGAGATCTGCGAGGTCTGCTGTCTCTATATACATCATTCAGGCTGGGAACTGACAGCACCCCCTACAAGAAAATATTTTGCAGACTTAAGTACCTCATCATGTAATACTTTTTAAATTATTATTTAAAATATTTTTATAAATTATGAATAAATGAATAGAATAGATTCAAACAACATTTATATATGACAAATATGTATAGATTTAAAGTTTATTATAGTGCATAGCATTTCTGCATAGCACATACTCATAACATTTCTGCCCAACACACTATGCGTGTTAGTGGCTTTGCAAGAATGTAAACATACTAATATTATGTAATCTCACAAACCTTGTACCTTCTTGTAAATAAATCATTATTGTTATTATTATTTATAAAATGTAATAATGTACCAATACATGATACAAATAAAGCACAGAGTAGATGAAATGCTCACATTGACAATACAATACAATGTTTATTCAAAAGAATGTGTGTACAAAGAACATAAGAGTAATGTACAACTGTAGGGACGCGAGTTACACAATCTATGAAGCCACTATTATACCATGGGTTTTGGGCAACCACATCAAATAAATAGACAAACAAAAATGTAACAAAGGTGTGTTAGTACTAAAGAAGACGCTAACAAAATGAGATCGGTCATGGAAAATAATATATGAATGCAAAAAAAGGTGACACTTAACAACTGCATTGCGTAAAGCACCTTAAGGCACTCTGAGGGTTTTGTGATTTTTTTTTTTTTAATTAGGCCGGTCAGCCGAGCGGACAGCACACTGGACATGTGATCCTGTGGTCCCGGGTTCGATCCCGGGCGCCGGCGAGAAATAATGGGCAGAGTTTCTTTCACCCTATGCCCCTGTTACTTAGCAGTAAAATAGGTACCTGGGTGTTAGTCAGCTGTCACGGGCTGCTTCCTGGGGGTGGAGGCCTGGTCAAGGACCGGGCCGCGGGGACACTAAAGCCCCGAAATCATTTCAAGATAACCTCAAGATAGGCCATACCTGTATTTTAATTTTTTTTAATGTTTTCATTGCTCTTTGTGATTTGAAATGAAAATGATTGTTTGGAAACATTTTGACATTAACATTAGCTGAACATTTATAAAAACAACAAAAATATGTCCTTAACAACTGCACCCTGAAAATTTTGCCCAAAACAGGTGCGCAGTGCAGGGATTAAGATTGACAGGCACAGACTATTACAATATGGAGTCAGTATACATAGAGTCAATATTGAGCTGATAATTACACATTAAGTATTACACATTTAATTACACTGTAAGTATCACAATGAGACATTGAAAATTTCAATCTTGACCAGCATAACTTTCTATCTGCGGTCACAGTAGCAACTTTTTCTAAATATCCCACCAAGTAATAACAGAAGCAAAGAAGACACTGAAGAATTCTCAATCCAGCTCATAATGATCATCAGAAAGGATATTCTTCTACACTCAAAAACTTTCTCCAAGAAATATTTGAAGTCAAAAAGACTGCCAAGTATTGTTCTGTTACTCCTAACAATGATTAAACTACTTTCCTGCTTGTCTGTCACTGCTTCCCTTCCCTGTTTTCCCAGGAAGCAGCACTAATAGCAGACACAGACACAGCTGGCGATAATGCCTCACTTTCTTTACCAAGGGATGGCAGGAGAAAAAGATGAAATGAGGGCAACAGAGAGTGAGCTCAGAAAGAAGCGAGTCATCTACACTTAATACCTTATTTCTAGAATAACCACTTGGTTGTTCCCATAGATGTAACTCATCACAGCTAGCCAAATATAAAGGAAACAAACAGTAATAAGAGAATGGGAATTATTTGTGCCACAGGATAGTCTGGAAGTAACTGAAGGGGGGGGGGAGAAAAACTGCAGCCCTGAAGAAACAAATGTCTTAAATCCGACTTCCACTGACAAGGAGACCAGAAGAAGGACTGATGTTCCAATGCTACACATTGATACAGTAATGAAGACTGGGAAAAAGGGGAGGTAATATCTGGCAAAGTTGCTGGTTGTCTCCTAAAACTCCAGACCCTAATATTCAAGCATATCATGGCAGAGAAAAATGCTCCGAGTGTGAAACTTCTGTAGGTCAAGGACTCGGAAATACATCCCCAGCTGGCTGAAATATAACCCATGAAACTAGACCACAAAAACCACATATTGAAGAAGAGCCTATGTCCTGTTGTTGCTCTCTATCTGTATCTTCAAGTGTTTTTGCATTAAACACTTATAGTGCCCTTCCTCAACTAACAGCCTATGTGCTCTTGTTTCAGAGTTATGTGCATTTGCTTTACACAAGTTGGTCAAGCTAAGGCAGATGGGGTGAGTCTCTAGGACCATCATCTGTTGAAGTTCGCTACCATCAAGACCTTCTCAACCTTGACAAGCACCAATATTTTGGCCTAGGGATTTTGGAAAACAAACCACACATTTGTAAAATATTCTACCTTTCCCCATAATTCATGTCTTACTCATCAGCTTGTGTCATTGGAATGTTTCTTCTTGTGTTCATCATCTGTCAGCAGGGAATGGGTCTTGGATGCCTGCTGCTTCGGAGCTCCGTTCTCTTCACCACATCCAGCACCCTCTGAACTTTTTTATGGCACAGGTAAGCCCTTTTCTCTCCTTAACTCTAGCTGTTCCCTTCTCTTTTGTGTGGCTGTGGTGGTTCCTGCATAAGGGAGTGACCAAGTAGCCTTTGCTCAGAAATAAGGTGTTAAAGATATATGAAATGCTCCTTTCTAAGTGGTACATATGTTATGGTTGTCCCTGTGCTCTCCTTCTGTCCTCCCTGACCTCTTCTATTTTTTCTTGGAGTGTGAAAGATGAAATCGAGGTGACCTAGCAGGTTGACTTAATACTGTACTACCAGTCCTGCCATCTATTGATGATGGCAGTCATCAATATCCTTGCCCCCATCATCAGTCTTGCTACTGTAACACATTTCGAGAAGGGAGAGAGGAAAGAAACTTCCAACCACCACCACCGAAAGGACTACTCACTGAGACACCAAAAAGAAAAAAAACTTAACACCTCCCACTGAGAAGTAACTGGAAATCAAATTAATGGCAGTAACATCTCAGCAAACTACTGTACCATATGCTACTTAACATACTACATACTATAAGGTATAAATATATTAACAACTGTTGACACCAATTTAACAACATCTGTACAATATTATCATACCTGAACTCTCCTGTTGCCTCGGTCTGTGTTTGCTGGCAATTCTCTTATTGGAGACTGGAACTTGATGAGTCCCTCCACATGTGCACCATTACCAATGTAAGGGTTGTTGCCCTAAAAATAATTTATAGCACTTTAAGATCATTAAAGGCGCACCAATGTAATGGTGTCAGTAGTATTGGACTATTCTTTCAAAATGTCACCACAAAATCCAGGCTGTGTGTTGGGTTGTGTGTACATCCAGAAAACCCAATAGGAAACACCGTGATGTCAAATGTGAAGATAACCGAGGGAAAAACATGTTGGTTGTAGTGACTGGTAGGTTCACCACCAGCAACTGAGGGTGGGTTTTGGAAACTGTTGATGATTGAGGGAGGAACTAGTAGTGGTTGTGGAGAGGTCACCAACAATTAATGGCGGTAGTAATGGTGGAGAGGTCACCAACAACTGAGGGAGAAAGTAGTGGTAGAGGAGAGGCCACCAACAATTGAGAGAAAAAAAAAGTTGAGGTAATGCAATGAAGGTTGAGATGACAAGATTATGGATAAAGTTGAACACACACACATACGTATGTACGTGCATGTGTGTGTGAGGGGGGGGAATTAATTAGTAGTTAGTAACAGTTGATTGACAGTTGAGAGGCGGGCCGAAAGAGCAGAGTTCAATCCCCGCAAGCACAACTAGGTGAATACAACTAAGTGAATACATGCTTTTGGTATGCTACATTTGTATTTACAAAGAAGATACATGGGTAGTTTTGTGGCTGTATCTGGAGGACCAGCCATGAAAACTATATACATAATGTAAGGTGTGGGGGGCCTGACATAATGGTTGAGAATCAGAGTAGTGCAGATTATCCACCACATATTACAAATTATCATTATTTCTCTACTCATCTACCTCTAAAATTTCCAGACACATGAAATTTAGTATAAAAACATGTATAGTCCAAGAACTGAATCCTTGAAATCCAATACAGTACCATAAAAATTTTGGGCTGACTGTATGAAAATCTTTTGATGAATGTTTCTATTTATTTTTTAATACACTGTATACAATAGAACCTGAACTGTCTGGGGAAGATTCTAGATGTAACAATCCCCCCCCCCCTTCAAGGACCATAGATAATTAGAGAATTTTAAACCTAGAAAAGTACAATTCATTAATAGAAAATAGAATGTAGCCAAGAAATTTGGAAGAAAATCCTAGAACACAAAATCTTGGGTAAATGCAAACCTCTTCTTTTTTATCTGCACTCTTGCACATAAATGGCTGGTTGTGGTAAAGCCCCATCTTCTGCAGAACTATGGTAGACAGGAGCCGATTACGGGCAGTAGACCAATGCCCCAAACGTGTCATTGCTGAATGAAGATTATCACAATGTTCCTTAGTCCAGTTGTATGTGTAGATGACAAGCTGTAAATTAAAAAATACTCATACCTTGTGTAATTTCCCCATAGGTGCAAAACTATCTGTGAATGAAATTATTTAAAACAAAGGACGTTTCTTTAAAATACAATTAATATATACATTTATTTATTGTATAAAACTGTTTTATACAATAAATAAAATAGTTTTCTTATTTAACAAGATATGAAAAAATATGATTTCACATGAAAAATTTGCTTAAAACAATCGATGAAGTATAAATTGGCATTAACCATGGAGGCAAAAAGAACTAAATGATTGATCAAACTTTAACATGAATAAAACAATATGATACACTATATATATATGCTATATAGTTCTTGTAACTCGACCAACATTGCAAGTGACTAAGTAAATCTTTATCAAAACTATACATCTGTTTACTGAAAAGGAAAGCCCAAAATACAAAGTAAAATAATAAAAACAAAAATACAAATTTTAAGTAAAAATAGACAAAATGCCGAGCCTATGGAAACGTACACCTTTATATGAATACTAAAATATATATATGGTGGTGGTGGGTCTGATAGCTCACCTCCAGGCCTCGTAGTGTTGCTAAAAGGAGCTTCTGACGAGGAATGAATAACACATCTGCAGCTTCACACTGCCACAGTGAACCTACAGCACTTGAGAGGCTAGTCGGCGTGGAAGGGACGTTCATAGGGTTAGAGATGGCAATGGCTGAGGACACAGCATTGCCAGTAACAGATACAGCTAATGGTGTTGTGGGTGGTGGAAGAACACTTGGTGTGGTCACCCCACTTGACACACCTGTGCTTTCCAGCCGAGGGAATGATGCCTCCCCACCACTCATACAGCGGCCTCTTGGTGACACAACTAAAGGATGATACCGCTGACTATTCTTGCTTGCTACAAGTAAACAAAACATCTTATACATAAATAGGTAGACAGAGGGTGAGGAGGGATTTGAGTTTCTTTTTATATATGTCTGTGTATATTCATCTCTTAATACTTGCAATTTTGAGGTGTTAGCTCCTAGACTTCACCTTTCCAACTGCTAGTTGTATAATATATAAACTCTCAAAATATTTTCTTAACTTTAACACTGACTTAACTTTAACTTTTTCCATACGACTACATCTATAGGGGTCGATTCCTAACAGCCTTGTGTAAAAGCAAATAGTGAAATAATGAAGTCAAATGTTAACTCAAACTAAATGAGTAATAATTAAGGATACTGAAGGGGGGCTTATTTACAAGTGCGTATGTAGGCGTAACATAGCAGACACTAAGAAGTAACAAAAGTAATGTGTGGAAGAAATATGAAACAACACTGCCTCAAATTCCTCCTCATAAATGAAGGGAGGATCCCTTTCATCAGTCAAGGATTAGAAAAGCTTTTACCATAGGTGAAAGGTCCTGTGGCAACAAACATTGCATACTCATGAGGGGGGGGGGAAGGGGAATAACCCCTTAACCTAACAGGTAGAGGGTTTGCAAGGTGCAAAAGAAGCGATGTCAGCCCTCGTACACCTGATCTCAACAATTAAGGTATGTGGAAGACCATAGAATGTCATGAAAAAGAATCACCTAGTGCAATTGTTTACTCAACTTCTCATCAATGGGCCTGGCCTTGTGAGCCAAGACCCAGGTACTATCTGGACATGGTGGCAAATCTAAAGCAGAAGCCCCCTGAAAGGAGTACATCCAAGCCCCTGTGAGAAGGTATCTGTGGTGGAGTAAGGGAACAGCAAACCAATGTCAAGGAAGAGGAGCCTAAAACTAAGCTGGAATGAAAGACACAACGAGGGACACACAATATTGATGGCATAACCATAAATGTGAAGCATGAATTAAAACAACACTCAAAGCATGGCCTCCCCAGGGGACAATGTCCCCAAGAAAATCAACAATACTTGTCTAGAAACAGGAGAAATGGTCCCACAGAGGCCAGCGAGTTGCAAAAGTATCAGGCACCCGAGTGATGGTGTAGGCCAGCTGGTCCCTGAGTGACCTGGGCTATCACCTGCTCATAAACAACATTTGAGAGTGGGTAAAAAGGTTGTTTTTCTATGGCAACTAGTGTCAGTTTTGTTTTCTCCGTTTTGTGTTGATCTCCAATTCCCAGGATTTCTTGCCAAGATAAGAAAATTAGATCCCAATCTTAGTTTCCAATAGGCCTGTGCAAGTCCATAGACCTAGTAGCTTTTGCATGTCTCTGCTATTCCCAAGGTCTCAAGCACCTGGAGTTGCTTATGGGGGCTAGCACAGCTAGTAAATAAAAGTGAATGAATGGATATGCAAGGTTATGTACAGTAACCTTGCATATCCCATCATTCACTTGATGTTGTGAAAGAGTGAAGGTGAGCATGTATGTTAGTGGAGCTATCTATTGTATATTTCATCCTATTTCATCAAGAAAACTTGTTAAGCTATAATGTCTTAAATTTAAACAGTTTTCAATTAATAAAAATATGAACCAAACTGAAGATGATTGAGAGAAGGCAAATAAAAACTTACACATGATCATACTTAAGGAGTAATCATTAAAATTTTCTTCAAAGAGTGAGGCCCACCATAGATGCTTGTTACGACCAATGATTATGAAGTTGCTATGAACATATCCTCCCTTGGGATCTGCTTTCACCACTTGAGGAACCTGCAAGGAATATAATAAAGTCTCCTTTCTCTATTTTTTCTGATAAAAATGTAAAGTATTCATTAGCATACTGAAAACATTAAAGTAACACCGGCACATTCATCCATGTTTAGTATACAGTGTTAACTTGCTTAGACAGATCAAACACAACCATCATAGAACTGGAAAACAATTTCTAACAGACAAATGGCACTGCTTCTGGGTGATACCTCAGTAGCTTCCCTGACCTTGTGGAACTGGTTTACTGGGGGCATAAAGGCCTCTAAGGTTCCTATACCTTCTTTCTACCCACCAAAGAAAAGTACCTTTTCAAACCATCTTGCCCCCTTCCATGGGTAAGTCACAACACACACGTTACCTAATATATATCCCTCTGGATATATTAGGTAACATACTAATTGCCAAGAAAAACTCTGACGCTACTTAATATGGTATTAATGGTCTAATTCTACAGCATATTACATTATGCTTTATCTTATCAATACAAACTTTGATTTAAAGTGGCTTGTTAATGTTCAAGGTACACAGTATTCAGAAAGAATATTATGAATTACGAAAATGTATACGTTTTCACATCACAAATAAGTCGCTGATGCATAAAAATATGAAACATTAAAAATTATAAGCAGTAAACAAAAATATAGTAATCCCAATTAGAATCCCATTTAATTAATTCAACAACAAAGTACTATGCATTTTAGCTTAGGAGAAATAAATACATTATCAAGAAATGTTTTGTAAAGGAAATAAGAAATAATTAAATGCAGTCATCCTTAATACCTATGCTTATGTGATCAACCCCTTCAAGTTACTAATATTGTTAAAATTCTTATTTTTACAGCATATGGTTAGCCATAATAGCAATTTTATCAACATTCAAGATTGGCCACTGACACAATGAATACTGCAGCTGATGAAACAAAGAGCATAAATCAATAACCTTGCTTGAATCAACCAGAGTGTAAACAGGTGCTTCTTCACTCTCATGCATGGTCTCCTCAAATATCTTGGTTGTGGTATCATTAGAATGCTGCGACACCCACTTTTGTAGTTCCGTTATGAAAATAGGTACAGCATGTCTGTAAATACAATATATACAAACATAAATAAAAAACACAGATCTTTCACAATATACAGCACAACAGATTTCCAGTTTTACACAGGAATGCATTCCTGGACACATCTTATAAAGGCAAATCCTTTATATTTCTTATTAAATGTTCTTTTTTTGAGACAGTACTTTGATTGTTCCTAATATAATTGCTTACATGATCAACACACAGGACTTCATTTACTGTCAGCCTCAATGTGGCTTAACACCTCACTATAACAGACATTTCAAATGGGCCTTGCCATACAACTGGGACAGAAAGACAGTGGATAGCATCTCAACAACAGATTGACAGACTAACTATAAGAAAATATAAATGTCTTACACATTTAACAACCCCATTCAAGTGGTAACTGGAGACTCTTGGGACACCAATTATACCTCGGTAACTATTGCAAACAAAACTCCCAAAAACTACATTAACACCAGAAGCTCATGTGACCAAGATAACATCAGCAACATATGGTAAGTTGGCAAACATAAACATGTCATTTAAGAAACTAAACAAGGAGGCTTTCAAGTTCATAGACATTGCCTACGTAAAGTCACTACTTGAGAATGTAGCACCATCAAACCCACACCATGTGAAACAAACAAACTTGACAAAGTTGAGAGGTTAACATAGATTAGTACCAGAATTGAGAGGCCTCAGCTATAAGGAAAGGTAGAGAGTTCTCCCTCACAACTTTAGCAGAGAGAAGAAACAAAACATGTAACAACTACAAAGATGATCTTGGGGAATAGATAAAGTGGATAAAGGAAGCATATTTAAAGTGAAAGAGGTAGGACAAGGAGACATCAGCGTAAGCTACACAGGCAATTGTGTCACATAGGTGTAAGGAAGTCCTTGTTCCTTGTATGGGTAGTAGGAAAGTGAAATGCATTGAAGGAAGAGGTTGTTGAAGCCAATTCCATTCACAATTTTAAAATTAAATATGCTGAAAACAATCCTGAGAGGTAATTAGCATGCCAGGTATAAATGACTAGGAAGTGGAGCATAACGAGCTAGATCTCATTCTCCTCCATAGTCACTGATAGATAAACAAGTATCAGCAATAGGGCACCTGACAGCTGGGTGGACAGTGCTTCGGATCCGAAGTCCTGAGGTTCCGCGTTCGATCCCCGGTGGAGGCGGAGACAAATGGGCAAAATGTTTCTTTTACCCTGATGCCCCCATTACCTAGCAGTAAATAGGTACCTGGGAGTTAGACAGCTTTTACAGGCTGCTTCCTAGGGGTGTGTAACAAAAAGGAGGCCTGGTCGAGGACCGGGCCGCGGGGACGCTAAGCCCTGAAATCATCAAGATAACCTCAAGATAAGATAGCATCATCTATCACCAGAGGATTGGGAAGCCTTCTGTTGGCTCCACAACCACAGGGGAAGCGAGCTACCATCACCACCACAATGTTGAGAGGCCAGCGCCAACCACCATTACAGGGGTAAAGAGCCACCAACCACAACTCAATGCTTCAGTTACCCTAACATTCACATAAACAGCAGGGACAAAAACAGACACTTGGAGCAGTCTAGTTAATGTACCAGATATAATTGATTCATATACTGAATGCTCCAATTCTGAGCTAAGGCATCTCAGTTGTTACCTTAGCCACATCCCCACAGACACAAAGTAAAAAATTTACCCAGGCATCAGCCATGATACGGAAAGGTCACAGGAAGAAGACAAGCTAGCACTAGACACAAAATATTAACAAAGGACAGGGAAATGGAAGCCAAGGATGAATAACAGCCTGTAATTGATTACTGGGCACTAAACATGTGATTGGATCTCTAAAAATTTCACAAGCATGTATGCCACTACATGTGCCATAGAAATAGAAATGGGGATAGAAAATGAAGAAGGAATTATTTTTTCTACAAAGTGTCAGGGACTGGAAAGCTTGTGAAATGGTACATAAAGACTAAGATACAAAATCATTACAGGAAGGGGGGTGTAAAAAACAAAGGGAAGGGGAACATGTTGCTGAAAATAGTATATACCAACGTAGATGGAGTGAGAGAAAATATTGGAGTTGAAGGATATAATTTAGCTCAAAGTTCCAGATATTGTTGCATTAACAGAGATGAAACTTGAAAATATTTTAAATGAGGTCGTATTCCCAAGGGACTACTCAGTTTCGAGACATGACAGGAAAACTAGGAAGGGGGGAGGAGTGGCTATGTTGGTGAAAGAAAACCTGAAAGTAAGAGTTAATAATTGAAAACCCTTGAGATATTGACATAAAAAAACCAGCGTTGAATGTAATGAAACGCCATTTTCTGGGTGAGCCCCGGAGGCTCCCTGGAGCTTATCGGGCTAATGTGTGTTATGTTAGACCGGGACATTAGCTATGGAGTTCAGACCTACCAGGGACCAGCGCCAGAACCTGGCCCCTTCAGAGAGGTTTCAGGGAGCAATGGCCCTGGAAAACCCCATATGGTTGGGGGTTTTCCTTATCTGCCATCGACCGGGGTTAGGCACCCAGAAAGGTAGGCGTAACAAAACAAACCCCACATGGTAAAAAACTACAACAAAAACCGAACAGAGAGGTAGAAAACTCCCTACAATCCCAAGGAAAACAATCAAACAATCAATTTACTGCCGCGCCGGTCGTCCGCGCAGCCCTCCCCTCCCCGGGAGGGGGAGGGGGGGGGCCCCGGACCTCACCGCGCCGGCTGCCGTCAGTTCGGAAACTAGGCTTCAACCAACGCGAAAAAACCCCGCCGACCGGATGGGAGGGAGGGTAACCAGGGAGCCTCCGGGGCTCACCCAGAAAATGGCGTTTCATTACATTCAACGCTGGTTTTCTGGGGGGAGCCCCTACGGCTCCCTGGAGCTACATACCCAAAGAGAAGGAAAAATGGGACTTACCCGGGAGGCGGTGGCCACAAACTCCTCAACTCGAAGTCGAGACAACTGGCTGCAACCTGCGACCCAAAGCAACACAAGAACGACGAGGAGCAGGGACATTCACCAAATAACGGGCGGCCAGGACCCTGTTCGACTTCCAAAATCCACGCGCCCGAATATGAGCCCAAGACATATTACCAAACACGGCAGCCAAAGCCGCAAACTTCCTAACGTCATGGGCGCGAGGATAGACCGCAGGCTGGCTAGATTTAATAACCCTGCGGACAACCTGGGAGACCCGAGCCCTGGAACAGGGAACGAGGGAAACCGGATCAACCCAAAGCGCATCCCCAGCCACTCCGGCCGAAGCGCGCAGGTAACGGCGAAGTGCAGCAACAGGACACAACACATGATGCACCCCCGGCCGAACCAACCAAGCATCAATGACCCACGGACCCCTCCGGAAAGCAGCCGTCTCGTTCTTTGCCAGAAAGGACGGAGAAGGCTGCAAACGGACAAACCTACCCCCAGGACCAAAAGAGCAGTAACCCCTGCGCCGGAGGAGAGCATGAAGCTCCCCTACCCGGCCCCCAGAGGCCAATGCCAACAAAAACAAAGCCTTGGAAAAACAATCAGGAACCGAAGGGGCCACCACAAACCGAGGAGAGGAAAGATAGGAGAGCACCCTGTCCAAGGACCAGGACGGCTCAGGCGGCGCATGAGCAGGCCGGAGGTGAAACATAGCACGGGAAAGCTTACGAAACGGGGCGGATGTGACGTCCACCCCGAAAGCGAGCTGGAGCGGCTCCGCCAGCGCCGCACGATACGAGGCGACAGTATTAGGCATCAAATGACGGTCCTGAAAAAGCCAAGTAAGGAAGGACAAAACAACCCGATCCGAGAGAAAAGACAACCTACGAAGAGCCAGAAAATGGCGAAAGGAACGCCAGGAAACTTCATACTGTCGCCTAGACGAAGCTCTCAGGTGGGACACCATCAAAGAAGCCACCTGATCACCATAGAAATGGTGATACACCCGCGTCAAAAAGACCAGACGCGAAGAGCAGAGGAGAAGGTCGAACCAGCCCCGTACCGGATCGGACCGACCTGCTGAAAGAGGCGGAGCCGCGGGAAACGTCCCGGGTTCGGGCACCGAGCCAGAAGCACCGGAAACCAAGGCTGGGCCGGCCACCAAGGGGCCACGAGGACTACTCTCCCCGGGAATGTCTCTAACCGAACCAGAACCCGAAGCAACAGCTGGACCGGAGGAAAAAGGTACAGGTAACCCCACCTCGACCAGTCCTGCCGAAAAGCATCCACCGCGAACGCCTCGCAGTCGGGGAAGGGCGTCACATATAGAGGGAGACGCCGGGACCACGCCGACGCGAAGAGGTCCACATCTGGGAGACCGTACGTCTGGCAGATCCAACGAAACGAGTCGTCGTCGACCGTCCATTCCGTGGACAGGGGAAGGAAGCGAGACAGACCGTCCGCCAGAACGTTGGACACTCCCCGGACGTGAACCGCACGGAGAGCCAAACCCCGAGAATCCAGCAGACGAACCACTCGAAGGGACCAACCCCAAAGAGCCAAGGACCGAAGAGAACCCCCGCGGTTCAGGCAATGAACCACCGGAGAACAGTCCGAATGGAGGCGAATGGTCGATCCCCGAGCGACCCGAACCCTCCGAAGCGCGAACCAGACAGCCGCGAACTCCCGAACCGTGCTGTGAGCCCGATGGAAGGACGGACCCCACCGACCCTGGCCTGCCTGGTGAGCACTGGTCACAAAGCCCCAGCCGAGAGACGACGCGTCCGTGAACACATCGAGCGAGGGCTCGGGAAGGCGCCAAGGCACCGAACCCCGAAAAATCCGAAGAGGAAGACGGTGACGCAGCAACCGACATAAGACCCCCGGAGGGCGAACCCAACGATCGCGAGAGAGGCGGAAAGGACGTCCCCGAAGGAACCAAAACAGACGCCGAAGCCAAACCCGACCCGGCGGGTAGACTAGCATGGCGAAGTTCAGACTCCCGCACAACCGCTCGAGCAACCGCCGAGTGACCCGGGACCCTCTCAGAAACAGCAAACGGCGGTCCCGCAGCCGTCGCAACGCCACCG